GGCAAAGACTTCGACTCAGATAAGCAAGAACCAAGTTGCTGCGCCCATGTGCGAAAAGGCCGGTGAGGACCTTTCCTGTAGTTAGCTCAATAGAGGATCTGCTGGGCGGTAAGTCCCAGAGTAAGAGTGCTTTTACTTTAATAAGACCGATTGACTGGCCAATCAGTCAAAGTTGTTTTTGTCCATGTATGGCATCATGAAGGGTGGTCAACACAGATCTCACTTCGGTGATGGCTGATAAGATCGTGTCTCCTCAGAATGCTTTCCTTGTCTTTTCTTGTCTTCTCCTCTCTCTCTCCGTTACACAGCAATCTACCCTAGCTCACAAGCTCGCAGTGGTTCGTCTTGCCAAGCTGGCAATCCTGACAGATTGTGCGTGACAGACATGGGACTTGGCCGTCAGGCCGCTTAGGACATTGCGTGAAACCGCTCTCTCTAGAGGTGATATATGAGGAGGGGACGGACGAGCCTTTCTTGTTAGCCTCTGCACAGTCCTGATCTAAAGTTGATGGATCCCGAGCTATTTCGACGAGTCCAGCCCGCAGACTTTCTGCAGAGGCAGCTTGCTGATGGCGCCAGGCCTGACGGACGACCCTTCACGGCCACTCGCAAGATGAAGCTCAACACAAACTCACTCCCAAACTGGTGAACAGAAGCAAAGCACCGATTTGTTAATGAGTGCCTCCTCTGCAGTGTGATGTGGTCTGATCTGTGTTCCATCCACCAGCGAGGGCTCAGCAACGTTGCGGTGCGGCTCCTCGCTCTACGTGGCTGGCGTGCGGGGAGAGATCGGTTCGCCCACTGATGCCGCCCACCCGTCCCACGGCCGCATTGTGGTGACGACTGACTTCTCCAAGCTGTGTGGCGCCGACTTCAGAGACGAAGCGGGGCCCTCGCAGAACCTCTCTGTGCTCCTCTCCAAGACCCTCACCCAACTGGTTAACCACCACAAGGCCATCGACCTTTCGCAGCTGTGCATCAAGGAGACCGAGGCCGTCTGGGTGCTCTATGTCGACGTGGTCTGCCTCGAGTACGACGGCAACTTCGCCGACCTTCCCCTGCTCGCATCTGTGGCGGCGCTGCGGAATGTCCGGCTGCCCGTCGTCACATACGACACCTCGGCCAAGGCCTACCGGCGCACGACGGACGAGGCGACCCAGCGGGTGCACTTCAAGTCATCTCCGGTGTGCGTGACGTTCTCTCGTGTGCTCGACGAGGATGCCTACTGGCTGGCCGATCCGACGCGTGAAGAGGAGGAGCTCGGGACGGCGCTGACGGTGGCCTTTGTGGGCGGGGCTGGGGAGAGGGAGGTGACGCCCATTAGGTGGGGAGGGGCGCCTGTCGACCTGGAGAGGGTGAGCAGGAGGCTGCTGCCCACTGCAAGCCGCATCAAGGAGGACGTGTATGACGCCCTGCTCGTGGGTTAGCTGGTGCATTGAGCGGGTGGCTGTGTGGACATATTGACAGTTCAATGGCTGAGTGTATGGGGCCGCTAGAAGGACATCGATTGAGACAGTAGTAAGCACGGCAAGCAGAGTCCATCAACGCATCCATCCATCAGTGAGTGTCACGTCACGTGCATGGCATGCATCAAAGTTCATCCAAGTTCCCATAACGAACGAACACGAATGTCACCCCACGCGACCGTCGCCCATCCATCCATCCATCCATTTAGATCATGTACGAAACCAACGAACGAGCGGCGCCATGGCTGGCTCATGGGGTGTCGTGTGGTGTGGTGTGCATGGGTATGCAAAGCAAGTCGTTGAAAAATCCTCAGCCAGCATACCCACCCAGTGAGTCAGTCAGTCAGAAGAATACTATTGTCAGGGGGCAGCCATGCGCGCACCAGCACCATCACCATCACCACACACACAGTGCATCCATCTCTTTCATCCATCATGTCATGGGGCCATCCATTATAGCAGAGCATACCACCATGCAGAGCAGTCCGTTGTTTGACGAACACACGCGTGTGCATTGCAGTGAGTGCATCGCATCTCATCGCATGTGTGGATGTGATATGGCAGGCCAGGCTGGCCAGGCAGGCCCCGACAGACAGACAAGCCGGCCCGTCCCTGGTTGTGTGTAGGCTAGGTAGGTGCTCATGTATTGTATGTCATGCATGGATCGATGGATCGATGGCAGTCAGTGGGTGACTTAGTGAGGAGGGAGGAGCAAAAGTCTGCACACCACACCCGCAGCAAAGAAGCAGCCAGGCAGCCAAAACAACAAGATTGACCACCCATCCATCCATCCGCTCGTCCATCTCGTCTCGTTCTGTTCCTTCTTTCCACCCGCAGCAGCATCCAGCCAGCCAGCCAGCCAGCCAGTCACTCACAGACGAGAAAAGCACAAAGACTGGTATATAAAGGGAGCCGGCCAGCTGGAGCGATCGTACGCACCGCATGCCTCCCCCCGGGCTCACTCACGTGGATTGCGTCTGTATGTATGTGTATGTATGGACGAATAACACTGATGATAGAATAGACGGTGGTAGGAAAGGTGTAAAGTATGTAATGGCGTGATACGGACACCACCAGCATGAACGAATCAACCAAAGACACGCAAACCAACAACCAGCCACAGGCAGGCAGACAGGCAGACAGGCAGCCGAGAGAGGGAGGAGGTCTGGGAGGGGATGACAACACACCGCCCAGGCCAGGCAGCCATTCTTCTCTTTCGTCGAATCGTTTCTGCCTGCCCTCCCGCCCCCCTCCCCTCCCCTCGCCCGCTTGCTCGCTCGCCCACTTCAAAATTGATATAGAAGAGCACCTGCCAGATAGATAGATAGTCCACTAAGAGGTAGGAAAGTAGGTCGGTCGGTCGGTAGATAGATAGATGGGTGCGATCGTTCGCCGGTCACTCCCTCTTTGTCCCTCTCGCCAGCCAGCCAGCCACATCAATTACCTCACTCTCACTCACCAGACCATGCACACATACACACACGTACGCAGTGCAATGCCACCATCGACGCCCCTCCACACCCCCCCCGCCACTCCCCCTCTCCCTCTCCCGCCACGCTACGCCCTGCCCCCCGCTTAAAAGAGTTGGAACGAACAAGCGCTCTTCCTCTGCTCTGCTCTTTCGATGGTGCGTGACTCCCCCTCGCACATGCCATGCGTGGACCAACACATGAATGTGATGTGCAAACAGGGGGATTGTTCGTTGGACGCACCAAGAGCATGGGACAAAATTACCCCCGTGTAGCTGTCTGTAGCTGCGCTGTGGCCCTTCCCGCATCATCGCATCGCATCGCCCCGCCCGCTCACAGACAGAAAGGGAGACGGGAGGGATATGCGGTGTGCCGGCCGCCGTGTCAGCCCAAACGGCCGGCGTGGCGGGCGGCACACACGGGTAAGGCTCACAACGGGTGGGGATTGGAAATACGCATGACAGATAGACAGAGGTATAGGTGTGGATGGATGTGTCTGCAGTGTATAAGTAAGTCAACACGTAGGTATGGTAGGTAGGCAGAGGGAGGGAGGGAGGGCCACCCATTATGAGTAAGGGAAAATACATACGGATCGCCTTGATAGGGTATGTACCAACGACAGACACCACAACGGCAGACGGAGGGATAGATAATCAATCGATACTTAGCCAGCCAGGCAGACAGTGCACTCACTCAACCACACACACGCAGACGGACAGACAAAGAGACAGACCCCCTCGACAGGCAGGCAGGCAGGCAGGCACACAGACAGACAGCCAGTAGTCAGAGTGACGTCAAGTAGTGGAACAAAAGCGGCACAGGATATGATAGGCCAGGCCAGGGTAGGAGTGAGTGAGTGCATCCATTCATCCACTGTGACGACTTATACTTAGTTAGGTGGGTAGCTCATCCGCCCCCCCACTCCACTTGTCTGTCCATATCGCTTTAACGGTTCCTCAGCCACCCACCAGTGAGGGAGGGAGTGGAGTGGAGTGCGTATGTGCATCCCCATCCATCCATCCATCCTTCCATCCAGACAGGCCCACCCACGCCCGCACAAGCAGGCGAGCAAGTTAGTGAGGCAGGCAGCAAAACAAGACACGCAAGAGAGAGAGGAGAGGAGTAGGGTAGTAGGGTAGTAGGTAGGGGAGTAGGCAAGTACGACCGCGAATTCATGACTGATCCATCATGTCGTTAGTTAGCGAGTGAGTGAGTTTCTGAGCTGAGCAAGTCAGTGAGCGAGCAAGTATCTGAGCCAGTCAGTCATCACATCAAAGCTGAGTGAGTCAGTCAGTGCCTGTCTGTCTGTCTGTCTGGTACCCGGCCTGCCCAGTATTCCCTCTCTTGGGAAGGGAGAATGGCGGCGGATCACGAAGTAAGTAGTGAATCAATGCACCAGTAAGTAACTGAGTGAGTGAATGAGTGGGTGGGCAGCATGGCCATGACGCAGCACACACAAGTAACCAACCAACGAACCATATGCGTCGATCCATCCATCCATCCATTTCCATCAGTCTGTCTGTCTTTCACGTGCATCATGACCACCATAGTATTATCACGAGTACGTCTGCCTGTCTTCCCGCCGCAGTGCAGCCATCAGCCGATCCATCCCGTCCATCACCGACAAGGAGTGGATGAGGGGGGGAGAGTGCGAACGACGGACGAGTGAGCCACACTCCACTCACACGCCCCCTTCATCCAGTAGTAGTATCGCCACCGCACGTATGTTGGCCACATGAGACCCGTCTGCCGTGCTGCAGCCGTGACTCGTGTGGCCGCGTCACTGGAAAACCAATCGCAGCCGTACGAGTGAGTGTCTCTGCAGCTGTCTATGTCTTGACAACAATCCCCCACAGCACACTCCGCGCCTCCGGGGAAACCAGCTCACTGAGATGGTGATGTGTTTGTTAGGACAAGACAAACACCATCCCATCCAAGTAGCGCCGGCCCGGCAGAGGTGAAGAGGTGTGCGCGGAGAGGTCATGTCGTCATGGCAACGTAAGCATTTTCCTCCTCACCACACACATGCCATCCACCCGCCTCTCCTACTCCCTACCGCCCACACCTTACCTCATCACAACCCACGCACCCCCACAACGGCCAGAACAGACAGACAGACAGACACGCACGCAGGCACGCCACATCCCTCCCTCCCTCCCTGTCCACCCCGTTTGGTTGTCAGTCTGTCTCATTATTCCGCCATCATTTCATGCCCGTAACCGGTGGGCATCTGGTACCTGGTGTCATGCTGACTGGGCGAGGCCCCCTTGGCGCCATTACCGTCCCTCCAATCGCCTCCCTGCGGCGGCGGCATGCCGTAGCCGTTGGCCACCGGCTGCATCGGCTGCTGGCTCTGCTGGTGGGTCGCGTAGATGCCGCCGCCAGGGGGGCTGGGCGAGGGCGATGACATGGCGTGCCCGTTGGCAGGCTTGGGGGGGTAGTTCTGGCGCCCGTTGGTGGCGTACTGGGGCTGCTGCTGCTGCTGCTTGTACTGGTCGAACATGTTAGGCGGTGGCGGTGGTGTGGTCATCTGGTGCTGTGGCACAGGGCCCGTGTAGGAGGTGGGTGTGTAGTGGGTGGGAGGGGGAGGTGGGGGGGGACCGCCGGACGCACTCATGTACTGGGGAGGCATGCCCTGGTAACCCTGCACACCACACGTGGGGCCACGGAAGCAAAGCAAGATAGATAGATAGCCACATTGTATGTAATGCAACTCTTGGTCTCGTGTGTGTTGGTTGGGTTGAGTTGTAACGCACCATCGGCGATGGTTGTTGCGACATTGGTGGTGTGTTCGCTGGTGGGGCGTAGCTGGAGTAGCCCAGGGGCATCGAATGCACGCCGCCACGAGCCGTCGGAGAGCCACCCATAGCTGACCCACACACATGACAGACACGACACATGTGATGTGACATCCACATCAGCGAGCGGGGCTGTGCTGTGAGCAAGGTGTGTCGTTGGAACTGACCAGCATCTGGCATGGCGTGTGCGGGCTGTGCCGTGGGTAGTGATTTGGTGAAGTCGCGGCCCTTGTTGGGGTTGTCCTTCACCGACAGCTCCGTCAACTTTGAGGGCTGAACCTGCACACCAAACCAAGGCGCACCAACATTCCAATGGGTGGGGTGGATCTGTCTGGTGATGGTCGCTGGGCTGGCATGGGTGGCTTGTATTGGGTAGGTAAGTAGGTAGGTAGGTAGGTACCTGTAGTGTGTTGCAGCCGTCGTACATGTTGCGCCCGTTGAGTTGTGTGAGGGCCTGCACGGCGTTGGTGCAGTTCTGGAACTGAATCAACGCCTGGGTCATGCCCTGCACCTTCTGAAACAACACTATCTGCATTGCAGCACACAATTAACATGCCAACAGACACACACACACACACATGAACAGGCTCCCTCCCTCCATAGGCCTTGAGCGAGTGAGTCCCTGACTGACCTTTTCGATGAATCCGTGTGCCGAGAAGATGCCGTGGAGCGTGTCGATGTCGACGGGGTACTGGAGGTTGGTGACGTAGACGAGCAGGATGCGACAGTTGGCGTTGCGCTCCTGGTTGGTCACCACAGACTTGCGGGTGCTGTAGCACCCCTGGATGATGCACCCACGGATCACCACACCGCCCTGACGCACGTGAGCCAACGCTGTCGACGCCGCTGGCTCGTTCTGATCGATCGATTAACCAACGGCAGACAGACAAACACGTGAGTGACCAGCCGTGTGTTTGTGTGGTCTGCTGGCATACATACCGGGAACTGGACGAAGGCCTGTCCAGCACTGGGGTTGTGGAACATCCTGAGCTCCTGCCCCATGGAGAAGGGCGAGAAGGCCAGCCTGATCTCCTGCTCGTTGACGTCCCTCGGCAAGTTGCGGATCAGCAGCACACGACCCGGCGGCGCATTCGGCCCCACACTCTGCCGCTTCTGAGCCATCATGCTGTCGTCCGTCAACGGCGTCTGCCCGCCCGGCGTAGCCACGGGCAGCAGGCCCTGTGGCGGGGAGTGAGCGTGTGTGGGCATGGGATAGCCGTTGGTGGGTGCGGCAGCCACCGGGGGGTAGCCGGGCATGGGGGCTGCGGCGGCCATGCGGGGGGAGGGGTCGTAGGAGCGCTTCATCGCGTAGCTCGGGTCCATCATCATGTCGGGCGGTCAGGCGTGTGTGTGAACCAACCAACCAGCCAGCCAACAGGGGAATAGACCAGTCAGTCAGTCAGTCAGTCAGGATGAAACACGGCGGGCACGGCAGTGGATCTGAAGAACAAACAAAGCCAAGAGAGCAAAGTGCGGTGTGTCTGACTGTCATGTCCTGGGGCAGTCAGTCAGTCTTGGCTAACCAGTCACTGAGGATTCGACAGCAGAGTAGCTAAAGCACAAGTGTTAAAGCACCCACCGCAGCATGCAACACCTGAACCAACCACAGTCACACAGACACGGCCCACACACATATCACTTCACTGAGGCAACCAACGTACGTGCAGATCACTTCTCTCTCTTCCCGCCTCCTCGTCTCGCGAGCAGGCTCAGCGCAATCCTGCCTGGCTTGCCTGTCTTGCCCTGCCCACCAGCTGTCTGGCTCCCCTCCCTGTCTGTTTGTCTGTCTGACCTGCCCCCTTGCATCCCGTTGCCCTCCCTGCTCACCTCTGGTTGGTACTGAGGATTGTGTGGGGTTCGGTTGGTACTGCCAGCTCCCCACCGAGTGCAGTCACCAGCACAGTCCCCAATGAGAAGTCATATAATCTTTCAGCTCGCACCGCCTGCGATCTTTGAGCAAAGAAGGAGAGAATGCCTCTCTCTTCATCTCGGCGCCGAGCCGCAGTGACGTTTCTGATCTGTCTATCTTTGAAGCGCTTCGTCGATCTGACTGCACTCCTTCTCCACACTGATCTCCGCATGCACGCCAACCTCTGTTGAAGATGCCTTTGTCGGTGGGCAGCAAACGAGCTCTGCAGATCACCCGCTACGCTATCAGCGACTTTCTCAACTCATCGGCTGAACAGCCGGATGAGTGCCCTCACCGCGCCTCTCACCCAGACGGCGGCATCACCGTCGTGTCCACTCTCTCGCCGCTGCCACCACACACACGTCGGCAGGATAACGACCTCACATGGGCACTGCCGATGCACCTCACCCACGGCATCGATGCCGCCCTGTGTCTGCATCGGTTCAAGCCTTTCTGGATGAAGCCGCGGGTCGTCAGGATGATGAGCGAGGCGCCCATGGAGACGCAGTTCTGTGTGCTGCGGGTGGCTGGAGGCGGCAAGGGCAGCGACGGCGAGTTTGCAGTGCTGGCGCCGCTGGTGTGTCACGAGGGCGAGTGCCGCTCGACGATTGAGGGCGGGGGAGCATTCGATGGTAAGTGCGTACATACCTGAGTGAGTCAATGAAGGGGAGCGGGATGGATGAGGATGGCTGGGCGTGCGTGCCTCCCCATGTGTGTGTGTCTTCCTTCCTCCAGACTTCGTGCTAGTCGTGACGACAAACAACGCATGCTTCGAGCCTCCCCGAGGTGCCAACCTGCTCATGTGCCTCCACCCGCCTCGCGACACATCACTCTATGAGGTAGGTAGGTAGGTAGGTAGGTAGGTGGGTGTGCAACAAACATCACCATCACACGCACAAGAGTACACCACTCCACTGCATTGCATCGCGTCGTCTATCTGTCTGTCTGTCTTGCAGACCCTGAACCTGTCTGCATCAGTCCTCTCTCGACTCACCAGAGGCCGCTGCCTACCCCGCCTGGCCAAAGAGCGCGTGGCCTTCCTTCCTTCCCCGCCCCCTGCACCCCCGCCCCTCGATGACCCCTATGCTCTCTTGCGTGAGTGGGGCTGGTGTTCCTGGGACGCCTACGGCCTGGATGTCATGCCGCAGCACGTGAGGGACGTGCTGAGGTACTGCTGCCAGGGCGGCGGGGTGGTCGGCCCTCCGGGGTGGGTCGTGCTCGACGACGGCTGGCAGGAGCATGGCTGGCAGGACAGGTAGAGCGTGTGTGGACCTCACTCCGTGTGTTTATGCTCCCGCTTTTCTCTGTCTGTCTGTTGCAGGGAGGATTTCTCGAGGAAGGCCCCCCAAAGTGGGTTTGACGGCAACGAACGCTTCGCCCCTCTGGCCCAGTCCATCGCCCGCCTGCGCGAGGGCCAACATGATGTCAAGGTGCTCGTGTGGCACACGATCCAGGGCTATTGGGGCGGTGTGCGCGAGGCCCTTGCGAAACGGCAGGGCTATGGGCTGCGCACGGGGGTCTTGCCTGTCTTCCCGCCGGCGTTCTGGGAATACGGGAGAGACACGGCCGAGTTCTTCAACCAGCAATATCAGATTGTGGTGCCCAAAGACATCGAGCGGTACTACAGCGACTTTTATGGGTTCCTGCAACAGCAAGGTGAGTGAGTGAAAAGAGGACCTTCTCTCTGTGTCTTCATGTCATCCATCCATCCATCCCATGTGTTCGTGTTTGTGTGTGTGATCCTCTCTCTTTAGGTGTGTGGGGCGTCAAGCTTGATTCCCAGGGGCTGCTGGAGCACCTCACAGAGGGGTGTCTGGCGGCCAGCGGCCCCAAGTATACCCTCACCTACAAGACGGCCGCCGCCAAGGCAGCCGCACTGCACTTCTCTTCCTCGGCGCCGTCGACCCAGGCCACGTCCAAACACGCCAACCGTCTGCAGCCGTGCGGCCGCATTCTCCACTGCATGAGCAACAGCAGCGCCTGCCTTTACGCCAGTGGGGGCGACGCCCTGACGCGGACGAGCGACGACCACGCCTTTCCCCACGTAGAGGAGCGGGCTGAGGACGTGGCCATCTTCATCTGGACCAACGCCACGGTGTCCTTGTGGGTCGGCACTCTCTGCAGAGTTGGTGAGTGAGGTGACACCACACCACACCACACCACACCACCATCGACACGACACACCTACAGGCAGACGGAAAGACAGCCAACCTAACGTCACGTCTCTCCGTTGCAATGCAGACTGGGACATGTTCCGCCTGGCGGACTGGTGCGGCAAGATCCATGCGCTGGCTCGCGTGGTGTCTGGTGGCCCCATCTACCTCAGCGACGAGGCCACCCTCTTCGACAAGTCGCGATACGCCAAGGGCGGGGGGCCGCTGGCCCTCCTGCGCAAGTGCCTTGTGCCGCGGAATTGCGGCACGTCGTCGTCGTCACCACACACGGGGCGTGAGGGTGGCTGTGTGGTGCCGTGCATCGATGTGGGGCTGCCCTCTGTGGACTGCGTGTTTGTGGACCCACTTGTCACGCCACAGGGGTGCGCTGCGGAGTGGAAGAGAAAACTGCACCGCACCTGTGTGTGGATGGATGGATGGTCGTGTCGTGTCGTGTCGGTTTGTGCGTGTCTGTCTGTCTTCAGGTACAAGGTGGTCAATGTGTGCATGGGTGGGTGGATAGTGGTGGTGTTCGGCCTATGCGACAGCGAGGGCGAGCTCTACCCGCAGGCCATCTACCCCTCGGACGTGCTGCCGCGGCCCTCACCGGCACTCTGGGCCTTCCCAAAAGACCGCAACAACAAGGGCCTGCCGCCGCCGTCACTCCTCTGCTTTGATGAAGAGACCAGACATGCCGCGCCCCTCATCGAAGCGTAAGCGAGCCACAAAGAGGAAGACCGTCCGACGCCCAGAAACATGGATGTGTCTCTTGATGTCTCAGGACGCCTTGGGAGGTGTCTCTGTTCTTCATGCACGCCCGTCTCTACGCGATCGTCCCCATCCACCCACTCCACTACTACCCCTCCCCATGCCACCAGCAGCCCCCCCAGCTGCTGGGCCACGTGAGCATCGTGGGCCTCGACGGCGTCTTCAACTCACCAGGCACCCTCCTCGCCCCTCCCGAGCCCGTCCGGCTCACCGTCAGGGGGCGGCAGCTCACAATGACAGGCGTCATGTGCTGCCCGGGGGGCGATGGCGACCTGCTCGTATGGAGCGACTCGCCCACCATTCTGGTCGTCCGTTGGCGGAAAGAGGCGCAGGGTGGTGCTGGTCTGTCGAAGGTGCGGCTGAGCTGGTCGATGGCCGAGGCGGCCGGGCAGCGAGACAAGGTGCTGCGTGAGGTGGTGACCCTGACTGGTGGAGCGAGGGACGAGAGAGGCAACGTTGAGGTAGTTGTGGGTGCTGATGAGCTAGTCAATCGGCGTGTGTGTACAGAGAGGGTGGGGAAGGGGGACTTATGGCAATTGTGTGGGTTATCTCTGGGCGATGTGGTTGTGGTTGTATTGGGAACTGAGATTGAGATGGTGACAGAGAGAGACAGTAGGGGTGGTTGACATAACTGAGATGTCTGCGGATGAGTATTAATGGATGATGTAACAGATCTTCAGTACTCACATACATGACACGTGACATCTGATGAGATCCAGCCGATGTCGCAGCCAGACGAAAAGCGCCAGCCGCGTCCTCATGCGGAAAGTGCACTTCGTCCGGGCGCGAAATGGGTAAGGTCACTCAAACAGAGAACGCAACGATGAGCCACTCAATAAGCGACAGGCAGCATACTGAGGTGATCGATTATTTCGTTCACGCATCATATCCCCCCACCGATGTCTGTCGTGTGATACGTCGCGAAAATCTGGTCGGATGCGGACACGTCGACTGTCTGTAAGCTACGAAAAAGCAGCGATGTGACACCATAATAAAGTGCCTCATGTCGTGTAAATCGTGATTCGCTCATTATCCCTACCAATCAATCATCCAGCAGTACCGTCTCCCCCTCTCACCTACCCCGCCCCGCCCCCTCTCAAATACACTCATCACACCCACGATGGACTCACACTCACACAGACGGATGAAGCGATAGGCGATGGAAAACACAGATGGAATAAAGCAACCCAGAAAGGGTGTCTCTGGCCCCGGTGCATAAAGAAAGTCATGGGTCGATGTGTCGTCGAAGAAAAGCCGGCGTGCCTCTGTGAGGCGAAAGGTGCGGCAGTGCCTCTCTCAGACACGGACATGGCGGAGAAGACATACGTACGACATAGAGCATGAAATTGAATAAACGCAACAGTGAGCGCTATCACACACACACACACACACCCCGACACGACGCGCATACAGTGACGGTCCGCCCGCCCTGTCAAAACAGCTGCCCTCCGAAGAGCCTTCAGGCCCGAGGCGTGGCGCTCCCTTGCAAATGTGCCCTCCCCCCCTCACACACGGTCACCTTCGTGATGTGCATGTACGTGTTGCAGTCCCCCCCCCCCTCCCCCCACGCGATGAGCGATAGGTACCCATCAATTAGCCCAGCATAGCATGTGAAAAGGGTGTTTTATTACATACCCTCTGGGAACCTGGGAACGCATGTGACCCCCCCGCCCGCGACCCCTCTCTCTCTCTCTCTCGACCCTACCTACTCTCTCTACGATGGCTGGCCCAACCGCACACCACGGCTGATGCCCTAGGTCTGTAAACATCATGTCAACAAAACTCGCCACGCCCCGCGTACATCCCCATATATACAAACACCCCGCAGCCAGCCTTAACCCACAGACGACACTCACCCAGGCAGACAGGCAGACGGACAGGCAGACAGGCAGACAGGTTCACACGATCAGACGATCAGCCACACCACGCAGACCGAGACGACTAGACAGGCAGACAAAACAGTCAGACATGATACGGCACGACACACCCCGGCTAGCCCCTGTAAAGAAAAAGGATCTCTCTCGCTCACACATGCATCAGCCACTCACATGACCACCGCACGGGCGCGCAGGGACCGGCGCTCAGTGGGGCACGCCTCGAGCGCAGCGGGATCGAAGCTCGCCGGCAGCAGCACGCCCGAGATGACATGCACGATGCCGTTCTTGGCCTTCACGTCGGCTTTGATCACGGGGATGTCGTTGACCAGGACAGTCCCGTTCTCAACCTTGACATTAACGTCCTCTTCGAGGGCAGTGGTGGCAGCCAGGGGAGCGGCATCGATGATGCTCTTCGAGTCGATGGCCTTGCCAGCCACCACGTGAAAGAGGAGGATGTTCTTCAGGATGGCCACGTTGGCAGGAGTGCACAGCAGCTGGTCCAGCACACCCGCGGGCAGAGCGGCGAACGCCTGCAACGTGCAACGAACGAAGACAGCGGAGAAACGATGTTGTAACGGCCGCCATGCTCGCCTTTGCAGGTTAATTGTCTCACCTCATTGGTAGGTGCGAAGACGGTGAACGGACCCTCACTCTTGAGTGTCTCGACGAGCTCAGCGGCCTTGACGGCGGCGACGAGAGTGCTCAAGGCCTCGGTGGCCATGGCTGTCTCAACGATGTCCTTCTTGGGCTCGCCTGCCACACCACCAGTCTTGCCCGGATACTTGGGGCCAAGGCGGCGCTGCACACACAAAGGGACACCGAAGACAGACAGATGAGACAATCCCTCCTTCATCGACCCTTGGCCTCTTCTTCGCATGCTCACCCTGAGCTCGGGCGGGATGAGCACGTTGTTGATGATGTGGACGATACCGTTGGACGCCTTGACGTCGGGCGTCACCACGCGCGCCTGTCCGTTTAGCAGCAAATTGGCGCCCTCGGCGCTGGCCGTCACGTTCTGGCCCTCGACAGTGCTGGCGGTGATGCTGCCCTCAGTGGCGCTCTCGATCTGCGCGGCGATGGCCTCGGAGGGCAGCTCGGCTGGCACCACGTGGTAGGTCAGGATCTTGGTCAGCACCTCAGTGTCGGCCACGATCTCATCGATGCCCTCAACAGCAGCGAACGCCTGCACAACCACACACAGCACACGCAGGACATGACGATGGATCGCTACGTGAGCAAACTGCATGGTGGACTGACCTCGTTGGTGGGTGCGAAGACGGTGAAGGGGCCATCGCCCTTGAGGGTGTCGACAAGGTTGGCGGCCTGGAGGGCAGTGACGAGGGTGCTCAGATTCTCGGTGCCGGTGGCAATCTCGACGATGTCCTGCTCGGCCTCGGCAGCTGGCGCATCAGCAGCAGGGGCGGAAGGGGGAAGGTCAGCACCGACGGAGCCCTCTTGTGCTGGAGCCGGCGCAGCGGCACCACCGGATGACATCGAGGGGGCAGACATCGCAGCCGTGGAGGTGCCATAACAGCTGGACCCGGCCTGGAGCTTCTGCAGTACACAAACACCAAACACATCAGGACGGCATCCTTCCAACCACGTTCCGATGCATCAGTGTGACGATCATCATCCTTACGCGGCGCGTCTCAGGCGGCAGGAGGACCGTGTCGATGACGTGCACGATGCCGTTGGAGGCCTCCACATCGGGGATCACGACCTTCGCCTCGTTGATGGCGATGGCTTCGCCCTCCAGAGTCGCCGTCACGTTGGCGCCCTGCACTGTCGCCGCGCTAATGCCCTCGCCCTCGGGGGCACTCTGGAGAGAGGTCAGGAGGTCGGATGAGGGAATGGCGCTGGGGATGACGTGGTAGGTGAGGATGGCGGTGAGCGTCTCAGTGTTGTTCAGGATCTCATCCAAACCCTCCACGGCAGCGAATGCCTGCGGACACAGAGACATGACACGAGTGGACGGGCGTCGAGACGTTCAGTCAGTGGACAGGGGAGTGTGTGTCTCACCTCGTTGGTGGGAGCGAAGACAGTGAAGGGACCCTCGCCCTTGAGAGTGTCCACCAGACCGGCGGCCTGAACGGCTGTCACAAGGGTGCTCAGTTCCTGCAGACATACACCAGAGCACAGGCGGGGAGCGACGCATGCCCCCCCACGATCACATGCAGTGGTCTATGTACCGGGGTGGCCATGGCAGTCTCAACGATGTCCTTCTCGGCCGCTGCGACACCTGAGAGAACGGCAGACACACAGATCTCGCATCATCCCTCCTTCCGGCATGAAGCGACGCATGTATCACCCACCTGCAGGTGCGTCGGCTGCCTCGGATGCGGGAGCTGCGGCGGCTTCGTTTGCCGCACCCATATCTCCGGCGCCATTGACCAGACCGACAGCGAGGAGAGCGAGTGCAAGAGTCTTGAACACCATCGTTGATGCGTGTGACAGATGCGTGTGACAGATCTAAGGGTCGAAAAAGCGTGTCGTGCCGGGGGAATGCAGCAGACGTGAGGGAAGGACTGGAGAGATGGAAATAGAGCCGTTAGATGGACTCTGACCAGCACTGATTCTAAGCTCGCAGAGTGTCTTAGGGTTTGGGTTTCAAGGGTTTGGGTTTCAAACCCTTGAAAGGACGTCAATACCAGCACGTCCCTAGCCAGTTTGCCCTGTCCTCTCCGTCTCCCTCCTCTCAACAATCATCTTGACAGCCGCATGCACGTCGTGGGACACTATGTGTGCCGGGTCATCGGGATCGTTATCCTCGCCGCTGAACACACCCGTCCTCACCAGCACTGACGTCCACGGCAGCCCGGCACGATTTGCACCTCTCACGTCGGCTCTGACGGCATTGATGAAACAGACAAACAAACCAACCATCAGGCACATCTTTGCCCGTTTAAGTGCGTGTATGCGTCGGCTGGTTGCTTTACTTGGGGTTGTCTCCGATGGCATAGATGCGGTCGAAGGTGACATTGTCAGCGGCTGGCAGCGACCGAATGCGCCGTACCTCTGCCTCCAGGATGCGCGTGGCGTACCTGTACACCACTGCATTCGGCTTGCTGATACATATGAAACGACCCACCACGAATGAGAGCATACGTGCAGCTTGCGTCTATCTGCACCCGGCAGGCCAGCTCACCCATAGTATGTGACGGGCAGCGGCCGGCCGTGCAGCTTCTCGAATAAGTGCTCAAGCGCTGTAGTGAATGCACCCTGCCCAAACCTACCTGACACACACCAACTCATGGCATGGCGACGGATGGGGTGACTATTTGACTGGCTGGCTCGCCAGTACCTGGGCGTGTGGTGTGCCGCAGAATAGAGAAAGTCGGGGTTGGAGGCGTACAGATGAGGGCTGTGCTCCTCGCCGGCCGCCAGCGAGCCAGACAGAATGTCGCACAACACCTGTGCTTCCAGCGCCCAATCCTGGGGGTCATGCAGGATCACCACAGCCTCCGGCAGCGGCCTGAACAGACGAAAAGAGGCAAAGCCGACCGCGTCCATGCACCATCACCCGTCCGTGGCTCACCCCTTCGGTCTCGTCTCCACTTTGCGGTAGGGATAAAGGTTAGGCCACTCCTGCTTATACACACACAACCCACATGCAGCCACACTTCGGTGGCTGCTGCAGTCAGATTTCTGATCTCTTGTCCGACCGCACCTGCAGGAAGTCCTGCGGTGTGATGATGTCGCTAAAGCCACACGATTTGGCGACGTCGAGAAAGCGCTTGGATCCCACCACCATGACCCGACGGTCTGTGTAGCGCTGCGCCACTTCCCTCATCGGCGTGTGGCTCATCTGGACCTGACCGACACCCAGACAGACACCTGCATCGATGCATCCACCCACCGATCCTATCTGCCTCTATCTATCATACCTACCTGATCAGGCGAGACCTCTGTGTCCAGGAGTGTCGTCAGCTCCTCTGCCTTGTTGCTCTCCGTAATGCCGCCGCCGTTGGTCAAGAAGGTGAAAGGCAGGTCCCCATCTCTCAGCAGCTTCAGGGCCTCCTTGGCCCCCTGCAGCGCTTTCTTGCCTCTCACAAGCACGCCATCGATGTCGAACTGAATGCATGCACACACACAGAACAGAATCACACTGCGCCAGATGAAGATCTGGGCGTGCCTTCACTCACCACGACAGCTGCCTTTTCTCGATGCGTCGATGGTGCGTCACGGCTTGCTGCTGTAGTGGAGAGATGCCGCCGATGCAGCGATGCGCTGCATACCAGGCCTCTCCTCACGCCTGAAGCAGGCACGAACCGAGAGAAACGCTTTCAAATTGGTTCTTTCTTTCGCCTTTGTCCTTCTCTGCTGTTGCTCACCTTGGACGCTGCGCATCAAAGAGCTCTCGTCTTCCTTTTCTCGCCGCCACTTGCGAGCTACGGATCGGGATATTGCAGATCTGATGAGGCAACACCTTAGTTAAGGAGCCAATGTGTAGCTGCTGCAGCCAGGGAGGTCACTGATCACAGATCTGCTTCAATCCTCTCCTGTCGTCTGGCAATGAGGTCATCGATGCGGCAGTCAGTCGCACCATCGAGGAGGACCGATGACGGCACTGCAGCAGCAAGATCCCGGCCTCTCTCAGCCTTTTCCACTCATCCACCCACTTCAACAAGGACGGCTCTTCTGTCGGTGCTGCTATTCGCCACCTCGGCATCTGCATTCCGCCCTCTCCCCAGCCCCTCCATACGCCCTCTATCGCCGCCTCATCTGAGATCAGCATCAGCTCTCCGGGCGGCCGTGGCATCTCCCGAGCGGAAAACTGTTGTCACACAGAAGCAGCCGGCGAGCAGCCAGCCAGCTAAGGCTGAGCTGAGGAAGGCGTGTCGTCAGGTGGTCGAGCAGCACAAGGATGGGGCTTTCTTTGAGGCCAAGGTGCGCATGGTGACGGAGTTTGGTGCGTGGTTGGATTGTGGCGCCGGCATGCCTGGGTTCCTGCACGTCCACGAGATGGCCTATGGGTTTGAGGCAGAGATGGGCGAGAAGGTGAAGCCTGGCGACACTCTCAAGGTGCGACTCATGGACGTCATCGAAACAGGTACATAAAACCACAGAGAGAGACAGCGCCATGCACTGAGTATGATGGGTGGGTTGTTTCTCTTGTCTATCCCTGTCCGTCAAGAGTCCCGCATTTTGCTGACTATGCTGCCGTCGGCTGATCCGGAGCCGCTGCTGCAGCCACTGCTGGAGTCGGTCCCACCTGACATGTTCTTCAACGGCACTGTCGTGGCCACCACAGACTCTGGCGCCTTCATCAAACTGACCCTTCCACCACCACCACCGCTGAAGGCGGACGATGCCACTATGGCTGCTGACGCTGGACCCACGCCGCCCCCTCTCCCCGATAAGCCGATTGACATCGTTGGCTTTGCTCAGTACGGCGATCTGACCGGCTTGCAGCTGCAGCCAAAGGGAGAGCAGGGTGACAAGACTGATGACGTGATTGTGGCCATCGATGAGGCGGGGACAGCTCACAAGGGGCAGAGCGGTGGGCCGCTGAGGCTGGCTGATGTGGGAGAGGCCTATTCTGTGGGCCAGGAGGTGTCTGTGCGGGTCAAGTACGTGGAGCCGCGGCGGCGAGTGTACCTGTCGTGCTACCCTCCCATGTATGACGCCACCTTTGATCCCGTGCTGAGCGGGCAGGTGTTGCTGCAGCGGGCCAACGCCATGGGGGGCGGTGGCGGGGGTAAGGTGAAGGAGCGGCCCTTCATTATCGCGTCACCCTTCCGCAGCGACACCATGGTCATCAAGGCACCGACGGCTCTCAACCAGGCCGCCAAGCTCGACAAGGAAACCCTCGTGGGTTTCCTAAAGCTGGTCAGTCTAGTGAGTGGACACACACACACACACACACGCACAGGCAAAGGTGACCACCCAGATGTGTGTGTGTGGATGCAGAGGCTTCCGTACTTTTTGCAAGTCCGCTACGGCCTGACTCAGGACCCCTTTGACGTCCAGCGTTGGCCATCATACCCCACCCTCCTCTCCGCCTTCCAGCACTGGACGCACGTGCAGTCCACCGCCGCTTCCGCACTATCGAGCCCCCAGCAGCCCACAGGAGGCACGCCGACCACCATGGCGTCCATTGTGAGCCCTGCTGAGGGGGGCTCCACGGCTCCGGTGGACCTGTCTCGCGCCCGTCCTCCGTTGCCGCAGTACATGCCGTCCATCATCGTGGGCAGTGGGCGGATGGCGCAGGCGTTGCGCAAGTGGGGTCGTGAGGGTCGTTATGTCGACGAGAACTACTCGATCCACGGTGTGGATGTGACGGTGCCGATGGAGACCTACCAGGACGCGTCAAGGAAGGGCCTCCACCCCGCCAATGCGCTGCAGGCCGGACAGGGACCCATCTACGTACGTAGACCAACCATTCAGCTAGGAAAGGGGACACACTGACAGACAGACACATTGATTGAACGCTGTGCTGTGGATAGGTCTGCGTGACTCCCGACGATGTGGAGAAGGTCATCCTCGCCACACCGCCACACAGGAGGCAAGACCTGGTCAGTCGGAATCACCTCGCTCATCCACACACACCACACCCCCCGGTATAGATCTGATTGTGTTGATGTGCCTGCCCATGTGCCAGGTGTTCACGCAGATCGGTATGATCTACCCTTTGCTGGAGAAGTACGGCCTGCAGGACGCCACGCAGTTGTTGCCGTACGTCATTCTCGGCCGACACGGAGAGATCGCACTCGACGTCACCACCGAACTCAACCCTGGTCAGACAGACATTGTGGACGTGCAGCTCACAGGAGCCGATGAATGCATTCACTTGACGTATCGACGTGTGCTGTGTGTGTCAGATGGCATCACGTTGGTGACTGGCAAGTGGGCTGAGAAGTTCTGCGAGCGCCTCAACGTCGGCGGCATGTACTGCAGGGTACCTACCTACACAGGCAGCTAGCTGTCAATGCGTCTTTCGTCCATGGGCCAATGCAATGCATCTGTCTGTCTGTCTGCCTGCCTGTCTGCAGGTGACGGATCGCGGCGAGTACATGGAGCGGATGGTCGAGAACGTCGTCTGGCTCAGCTCAATCATACCCGTAGGCCCATCCCATCGAGAGCCATAACCCACCCATCTGGATGGATGTTGGTCTATCTCTCTGTGTTTCGTTTCGGCCCCATAGGTTGGTGTGAAGCATGGCGGCATCACCGTCGGCGAGGTCATCGCAGAACACCAACGTATGTGTGTGAATCAAACACCCACGCAAGGCGCCTTCGCACAGCACACCTGTCGTCTGCCCGTATTGCATGTCTGATCTGCCTGCAGTGGAGGTGGAGGATCTGATGGAAGAGCTCATGGCCGGCGCCAAGACCGCTCTCAACGTCAGAAATGACGCCAGGTGGAAGGAGAGGCTATTCGACTACGCCAGGGCGGTGGCTGCGTTCCCGACGACGTTTCAAGAGTTTGAGTATCGCAATGGCTGGTTTTGGGGCATGTCAAGGACGGCAATCAAGAGAGGCGAGGCCGACCCGCTGCCGCAACACACCAAACTCATGCTGGTGAGTGACTTACTTACATGCCACAACCCCACTCACAAGGGCATCTCCTTCTCTCTCGCCATAAGGATTTGGGAATCCCTGAGGTCCTCAAGGAGATCGAAGCCATGGAAACGGTCAGTCAGGAAGCACCAACGCCCACACACACATTGACCAGACTAATCCACCCTTGCCGCTTCCCTCCCTCATTGTCTGCAGGCCGATGCCGACAGCAGCAGCGCTGTCCCCGCCACTGATGCGTCTGACGAGGAGGGGCAAATATATGAAGACGAGGGCCCTGAGGTGTGGGAGCGGCCACGAGTGGCTCCCAAGCCAGGGATCACGCCACCAGAGGAGACGAAATACGTCGTCAGGCCCACACTTCCACCAGAGGAGCGACAGAGGAGGCGGGAGGAGGCACGGTACGCACGCAACGCACGATGGTCCTTTGGCTATTGTTGAATCTATTCGATGCATCCTCTTTTCCATGCAGTCGCGCGGCCGCTACTGCTCGTGAGGAGGAGGAGGCTCTTCAGGCATTCTACGCCGAGCTGACGGCCGAGCTTCAAAGGCAGAGTGACGGCGATGCGAGTGAAGACGAGCTGCTGTGGAGAAAACAAGCTCTCGAACTGCTGAGAAACGCACGAATCACGACGGTAGGTACGCAGACAGACAGAGCGGGAGAAGAGAAATGTCCACACACACGGCTCCCCCCTTCATCTATGCGCCATGCGTGTGGTGTGGCTTCCCATTCATTCATCATCACATCAGGGCGATGACGTTGAGCTGTCGTCTCCCGGTTCTCTCCCCCGCGGCATAGCCGACGACCCCTCACGGCCGGCAGGGGATGCGCCCGGCCCCGGTAAGGGCCAGTCGCGTCCGTTGCGTGACATGGAGGTGACAGTCGAGGAGGAGAGGCGGCGGGAGGAGAGACGCGAGCTGCGGAGGGAGGTGGAGAAGGACAAGGACATGGTCCCCACATTCAACTTCGCGCCCGCAGACTACATCTCGGAGGAACAGGTATGTATGCAGCATTGTGCATGGTCATGGGCTGACTGACCGATGTGTCTGTGTGCGTGGGTGTGTGGGTGCAGTTGCGGTTTTGGCAGCGGCAGATGCAGGCGAGGTCTGGGATGCCGCGACCGCCGCCTGCAAAAGCAGCGGCGGCACAGCCAGACAGCTGAGTGAGCTAGGGGGTCGGTCATATGTGCCTGAATGCCAGCACTGATCGAGGCAATGTGTCTGTATTTGTGGGATGGCGAGCTGTGCAAACGGTTTGATGGATGGACGGACCGTGGCTTTGGTACTGCGTGCGTCACTTGTGGCTGTCCAGAAATGCATGGACACGGCCGGCCGGCCATTGCGAGAGGTGCAAACCGATGAAGCTGTGCCTGGGGGATTGGTCCGACCCTCACGACACAGACAAGCATTGCAGGCATGTCAGCCAAAGGGGCGTTGTCAGCCATGAATCAGTCGGCAGCTACTTAAGTCAATCCCCGCCAGCCAGTCACACACACCTACACACACGCGCGCACGCAATTCACTGACTGCACAAACCATCGATGTCACCAGACTGGATTGAAGCCCCTCTCTCCCTCCTCATGTCTGTATGTCTGAGTGCTAAGTCCCTCTCTGCCCCCTCCCCGTCTGTCTGTCTGTCTGTCCGCTCACAACACACTCGCCGAAGATGATATCTATGTATGCCGCCCACTGCGGTGCCCACCCCTCTCCCTCTCCCTCCCGCATCTCTGCCATGTCCGCCATCCATTCGCCATCCCCCTTGGCTCACTGGCCCGGCCCTCCGCCTCCCTGCTGCTGCTGGCTGCCGTGTGGGTGGCCTGCCGGCGGGAACGGCAACGCACTCAAAGGCAGGGCAGATTCCCCACTGGCTGCTCGTGAGGCCACCGTGGCGGCTGTGTCGTCATCGGCACCACCGCCACCTGATGTGGATGGGGCGGTGAGGCAGCCACACTGCGATGGCCAGGAGGCGGATAGACGAACGCTGCCGGTGGCGGCGAGAAGGGTGGTGGGTAGGGATGCGGATAGGGGGGTGGGTATGCGGGCAACCGGGGTGCCAACTGGGGTGTCAAGGGGGCTGGGGCGACGTGTGGCGATGAGTGAGGAGCCAAACCATGAGAGCCGACAGGCGGCCCAACCTGACGGCTCATTATATTTGGGTGTCATCATGCTGGCTCATTATATTTGGGTGTGCTGTGCTTACGGGAGGGATGGATGCGTGTGTATGAGGGAGGCGGGTGACGTGACGGCCCACTTGACTTGATGGTCCAGGCATATCTGCGGCCACGACAGGTGGCTGGATGTCGGTGTGCGAAGCACTCTCCGCCTGCACACAGTGACAAAGAGAGGTGTTGTGAGGACAGCAAACATCCCAAACACCACCTATCTTTGGGTACTGTACCTGCCGTCGCCCTGGCCCATCCCTGCCTGCCGTGGCAGCTATGGCTTCCTCCCTCGATAGCCCCATCTCTTCCTCTGCGTGCACAGGCAAGGACATGACATGGCATTGGTATGGCGACGCACAAGCGCGGGTGACTTGCTATATGTTGCCCACCCAGAAGGGGATTGTAGCGGGGATAGCGTCCTGTGGGCCGGCTGGGCCGTCTGCCCATGACGGAAATGAACCAACCGGTCCTCGAGAACTGCACTCCACATGGACAGCGGGCAGACATGGCTTCAGTGCTGACTGTAAGACGTCATTGCTTCCATCTGTGTCCTCTCACCAGCCGCTCGTCTTGAGACTCTCCCTCCGCTCCTGACGCACTCGCACCTGCCCCGACGGCCTCGGAAGCACTAACAGCATGAGGTCCTCCCGATACGGCAGCCCCCGCGTTCGCCGCGTCAACCAACACATCAGCAGCAGCAGCAGCAGCAGCAGCAGGAGAGGCCTCACGGCCCCGCTCTGTGTCGGTAGGCGGCTCCGCTGCTGGCTCGTAAGGTGGCTGAATGGACACATTCAGGCAGTGGACAGATACGTTGAACTATGGCGGACAGCCGTGGTGTGTTGGCCATACCTGACTTGACGAAGACGAAACAGCGCCACCAGCAGCAGCCGTTGCGCCAGTCGACGAAGCGCCATACAATGCCAAACGCACCTGCTGTCCTTCCGACACGTCAGACCCAGGATACCTCCCCTGCCGAATCATCATCTGCAACTCCTCTGTATGCACACAGGCAGACGAACGGCAGGTTGGCTAAGAGATGACGATGTGTGTGGCTGCTATTGCCTACCATGAAGTGGGTCGTGCTGGTCTTCATCTACTTGGTGGCGGCGATGGTCCCTGGCAGGATCAGCAAGGGCCTGGCGAGTGGCCGCGTCAGCAGGAGCTGCAACAACAAACGACACCAATGAGAGAGAGGCTCGGTGCGACCGAACCATTTAGAGCTCACCAGGTCCTGCGCTACGGTGGGTGCCGCTGCTGCTGTTGTTATCCATGAATCTCAGCAGTTTGCCGCCGAGCGACCGAGTCGGCTACAGTACGAGGGCATATCTTGCCAAAAAGGTCCAGAGTTTCCGCTTTCTGTGCGAGCTTTCTTTCAAGAAGGTCGCTGGCGCCAGCCCAGGGTCAAGCAACAGATTGACGGTTCCTTCCGCGCTTTCATCGCATTTCCGCGTTCCATGAGCAAGATGGATGGACAGGTACGTGAGATGCCCCAATGCGGATGCTTGGATGATGCCAGCGCGTTTCTTGGGCTCTGACTCATCCAATCGACGGCTTCGCTGATGCAGGGCGGCGGGCGACAGGAGCTGCGTGATGTCTATGAGCAGCTGCGGTGGGTAAAGGCACAGCTGCCGAGTGAGGGAGGGAGTGCACATGGCTGCAGTGGTTCACGGGACGGAGGGAGGGACACGGGTGAGTGGATGGTTTGTTTGCAGCTGGCAGGGCACATCGACCGACTGGATGCTGTCCTCAACTTTTATCCCACTGTCTGGGTATGTATGTTTGTTTGTAAGAGTGCACTCACGGTACAGATCACCCGTCCTAGCACACTGTCATCTGTCTGTGTGTCAGCAACTCGATCCGCCGCCTCTTCCCTCGTTGCCTCTGCAGCTCAGGTGCGGTCTCACAGGCTTACGCTCCTCCCTCAAAGTCCTCCTCGACCACAATGAGTTGATAGCTAAGAAACTCACCGTCGACGAGGAGCGTCCACGGCTGGCTCATCCGCAATTGAACACGCTCCTGATGTATCTACCTGCACAGCACAGGAAAAACACTGACTGACACATGTCCAACCATCACCTTGGTCGTGTGTGCTTGGTGTATTGTGTGTGCAGCACGAGGTTGGAGAAGGCGCGCGATGAGCGTCTGAGGCTGGAGGGGGAGGTGGTGGGTCGGTGTGGCGGGTGGCCGATGGGCTCCTACGGCATCTACTGGCAGCGAGCATCGGCTCCAGATTCCGACTCACCAGCAGCAGCAGCAGCAGCAGTGGCAGCAGCGGAGAGCGGTGACAGTGGCAATGGCGATGTCGACCTCAGCTCTACAGAGGGCAAGGGCGAGGCTCAGCCCACGCCACCCATCCCCATCGCAGCTGCATCACCTCCAGACCTCAAGTTCATCCAGGAAATCAGGAAACAGGTCAGCACATTGGCTGGCCCGTGGGCTGCCCTTTCCAGTCAATGCAATGTTTCTTGCTTCGTCAGATGTCCATGCAGCTGCTGCAGGCGGAGAGGCTGCTGGGCGACCCTCTTCGATTCATTGTAGGCAACACAGACACACACACACCAGCACACAGGAAGCTCATTCATCGTCTTCTCTCTCTCTCTCTCTCTCTCTCTCTGTGCAGCTGCCTGATGCGGGTGAGTTCGTAGCCGTGTTGTCGTCAGCCGTAGCCATGGTGTCAAGCGCCAGTGAGGTCCTCGACGCCGCCATCAAACCACTACTACCCATAGCCACCGGATGGAAGCCCCCCGCCGAGGTACGACATATGGGCAAGACAGCCGTCCGCAGAGGTGCATCCCTCCACCCATCCGTGCTGTTCTCGCTTTCCCGTGTGCAGCCGTACGGCCGGCCTTGTTTGGACGGGCTGCCGTCGAATGTTGTGAGCGGCGTGCTGGTTGGCTTCCTCGAGGCGGCAGACGTCGCCAAGACATCACCGACCAACCAGACGATTCATAGCCAAGTGGGTGGGCGGGTTACCAAACATACACACCACATTCTCTCCACAAAGCACTGTGTGTGAACCCTGTCTGTTGTCGTCAGGTTCGTTGTCGCGCCTCACTCGATGGACTGCCCGGCGGCCTATTCCTCCAGGGCATCGCGGCCTTCTTCAGTACCAAGGCGGCCGCCCGACTGTGCCGCGTCAGTAGGGAGATCCGCACTCAGATCATGAGCAAGGAGACCGGCATATTCCAGCACTTCATCATGGCCAGCGACGACACATACACACCGCAGCAACGGACCCTGCTCAAGCCACGATTGGTGAGACACCTACCTAACACACGCATGCTGCGGTGGTTCTGACCCCTCTCCCTGTGCGTGCCTGCAGACGAGCGTCAAGGCAGCCACGATCGAGGTGGGCTCAGAGCCGTCGAGAGGTCTCGCCGTCTCGGTGCCAAGAGCCTTCAGCAGCTCACGACCGAGGTGGGCTCATGAGTCGTCGGTGGGGCTCGCCGCGTCGGTGCTGAGAGCCAACAGCACCACACTCACACGACTGGCCTTCAGAGGGACCCCAGATGAGCCGGAACTGTTCCCTTTCCGCCCTACCGCCGCCCGTGGCGTGCCCTTCCCAAGTGTGGAGCAGCTGAGCGTGACGAGCGGCATATGGCTCGCATACTTCAGGTAAGCAAGACAACACACACGCACACGCAAGCCCGGTACACGAATCGGTATCGTCAGCAGGCGGGAGCTATGGACGTTTCCCGGCCTGCTGACGCTCCACATCGACAGCAGCAGCTGCAGCTGCGGCAAGGAGATCGAGCACATCATCGAGACATCCCCCAAGCTCATCCACATGACGGGCTACATGTCGGCCGCAGCAGCGGGCGAAAGCCCGGGCGAAGTCATTGCCGAAGGCTTCGACTACATGTACGGGGGCTTTCTCACTTCCCTCAACAGCTGCCCCGCCCTCGCATCGCTGCCCAAGCTCAATGTCGCCGCCTTCCCCGACCTGAGCAAGGCCTTAGGGCCACTATCGATGGTCAAGAACGCCCTGTCGGCACAGTGGGGCAAGCCATCGATGCTAGGTCGGCTCTAGGGTGGATGTGAGTGGTGCGCTTCGATATGCACATATGCGTGTGTGTGTGTGTGTGTGGATGCAGGCGTGCCCAAGAAGCTGCGTTTCGCTATTGAGACTGTAGGTGTTGGCGCCGACTTCAATGACCAGGTCATATGCCATACCCACCACATGTGTGCAGGTGAATCACTTGTCTGTGTATTCCCTGCAGATCCATTCGTTCCCTCGAGGGCGCCAGTCGTTCGGCATCCCTTCACTCCTCTCATGGGCACAATCCAACAGCTGCCAGGCAATCAAGCACGCCGCACTCACTCACTCACTGACAGAGGCGTGTGTGTGAGTCCGCCTGCTTGTCGGTGCCATGTGTGTGTATCAGATTGAGTGGGGTTGTGACCACATGTGGCTGTCGTGCGAGAGCGACAAGACCGCCGTGTCATTCACTTCGCCTCCAGACCCCACGGCCGCACGCTTCATTGGTCAACTCGCAACCAAAGCCGACAAGGTACCATCCCTCCCTCCTTCCCTCCCTCCCTCCCTCCCTCCATCCATCCATCCATTGATTGTCGGCAGGTGTCGTACCGTGGCGGCCTCTTAGCTCTGCATGACGATTGGAGTGACCACCTCTACTTCCCCACCGCGACTAAGCTCCACATCGTCGCCACCAAGCCCTCCCGGGCCATCCCCAGCATGGCCCCCTGGCTGGCCGACCAAGACGGCAGCGGCAAGAGCACCCGATTCCCCAACGTGACCGAGCTGGAGGTGGAGGTCGGCTGCATCCAGGGGATGGGAAGGGGGATGGGGCAGGAGGAGCGAGACGAGTACGAGCAGCGCCCGCCGCTTCCACACACCCTGGGGGCGCTGCTGGGGTCGCTCCGTCCACTGGAGGACGTTGAGGTCAGGACCAGTAGCCTCGGCATAGTGAAGGAGGTCGTTTCGTGTCTGCCAGCTCGCGTGTCGAGCCTTTTCGTATTCTGTGCCGCGCGTCTGAGTGAGCTGCCTGCCGATGCACCGGCTCTTGCCTACCCCCGCATCGACAGACTGATCATGAAGGCGGGCCGGGGAGAGGGGAACTCTCCCATGGATGAGGAGCCCCTCACGTCGTATGGAAATGTGCAGGGGTGCGTGAGGCTCATCTGTGCCATGCGGCCACTGGTTTTTAATCTGACTGCGTTGGCCGACATGTCTGGGGGGAAGGAGGAGTTCGTCAAGGGGTGTCTGAGTGGGTGTGAGAGGGAGGTAGAGGCGCTGTATTCGATCACGTTTCGGCGGATTGACGCGTATGAGAATACGTACCGTCTGACGGGCCACCTGCTGCAGGGGCCTGCCAGTGGTCATCGGTAGCTAGGCAGGACGTACGTGGGTGGGGTGGGGGTGTGTAGCTAGAGGTGTGTCAGTGAGGTACAGCGGGGGGTGGATCGGAGGTGTTGTGATGGCTGCTGCATGAGGTGAATGGGATGGGATTCACACGTGCCTGTGGTCCATCCATATCTGCTGCCTTGCCTGTAGATCTCTGTATGTCTTCTGTACACACCTATACATACGTACACACATCCATGCCATGCGCCCCCCTCCCCCCTCCCCCCCTTCACTCTCCTTGTCTCCTCTCTATATCTACATCTGTCCTACGGGTTGACTGGCTGTGGTCGTGGGTGCCCCGGACGATGGGTGATTGACTGCCTGCCTTGTCCTCGGCCTCCTTGTCGTTCTGGGCACCCTTCATCTCGTCGCACATGTCGGGGATGTTGTACTTGGACTGGAAGTCCGTGATGATCGTCCAGTCATCACCTGACCGACCACCACACAGACACACACACAAGATGAAGGGATGGATGGATAGATGATCTGTGTGTGCCCCTGCCCGCCCCTGCTTACCCAGGTAGTCCATTGCCACAACGTACACGTGGTGCGCCTCTGGTTCTCCATCCACCCTCAGCACGCCTTGTTTGGCTCCATCGAAATAGGGCCGCACGAACGGCGTGTCCAGCCACTTGTCCTCATCATGACCGACACACTGGGCCACATGCACGAGCCGGTTGCTCTCCCGCCGCGCGTCGTCCTGGTGCGGAAACAGCTTGAAGGCAACATGCTGTCTGCCGTCTGCAGCGTCCAGCACTCATACGTCCCCAAACGCGCCATTGCCGCCTGGCAGTTCCCACACGTCAAAGCTGTCCGTCCGTCCATCGCGATAGATGTCGAGTGCACCTCTGTGGCTGTCATCTGCCGTGGCCATGCGTTTAAAAGCGTGCTGGGAGGTAGGGGGAGGGCGACGACTGCGAGCTCAGAGATATCGAATGCAAGCTCATCAGAAGGTCAGAGAAGGGCAATGAAATGAGGAAAGCGGAGCCCAAGGACAAGAGCAACAGGCCGCTAAGCAAAGCAACCACAGGTAGCTCCCCCGTTCTGCCATGGTTTGACACTCATCTCTGTGTCTGCAGCCTTGTTCGCATGGAGCATGCAGCGGCAGGGCGAGTCGGCCGACTGGCACATGGGCGCTACCACGGACCTCTCACCATCGCTGAAAATCGCTGCGGCCATCAACGCAAGTAAGGCCATGAATGCACGAGTGTCGGAGGCAAGAGGGCAGTGCAGACGACCGCATGCAGCCAGATTAAGGCCTCTCGTGTGTTGGTGCTTGATGTGTGTGGTTGCAGCCGTGGCTGAGATGCCCGGCGCGACGGATCTGTGTGCGGCGGGATCTTCCCGCGATGAGTCAGCCGAGAGAAACCTCGAACAGGTGAGGAGGGCATTGCTATGATGGCCACATGCACCTGTGTGTTATGTCGTGTCTTGTGTCCTGCACCAGCAACTCGTCCTCTACCACCTGGCACCCAACAACACGTAAGTAAGGCGGCCGTCCGACGGACGCTGATGCGAACAAGACCATTGTCCTCTGTCATGTTCGGTCAGCGCCCCCATGGATGATCGCATCGTTCTTGCTGAGCGTCTCGGGGCGAAGCTGCGGCCATCTGTGAGGGAGGGGGAGCTTTACCGGTCATTTCTATGCGCGTATAGGCTCATGGTGGGCAGACAGGGAGGCAGGCCGCAAGGCAGACCGAGGAAGACCCACCACGGACATGGCATGGCACCTCTGGCCTGGCAGGGTGCGTTGGAGACGATTGTTGACGAGCGTGCGTCAAGACTGTTCACTTCGGAGGAGGCGGACGAGTTGCTCAACCCCGTGGCAAGCGAGTGCCCAGACGAAAGCACTGTGGAACAAGGGTGGGCAAGATGCACCAAAAGACGTACGTCGACGAGTGTGTCTGCACTGCATGTTATGTTGGGCATGGCGTGGTGTCTTGGATCAGCATTCGTTTGTTGAGTAAGTTGGCGACTACTGAGAAGGACACCAAGGAGGAGGACCAAGCGCACGTCACCCATGTCAAAGAGGAGTGTGACAAGGTACGCACGCACGCACGGAGGTCTCCCGCAACGCAAGTCTCCATGCATTCATTCATTCTGCAGATATGGCGGCAGGCGTGTTCGGATTTCCTGACCGACATGTCCACGGAGTGCCCTTCCGTACTCTCCAAAGTGAGTGACATTGATAAAAACCCGCACCGTTTCCTTCGCCCACGGCCTCATCTCATGACTCCCTCCCTCCGTGTGCGTGTGTGCAGGTGTTTGAGAAGGGCGTGTACCGAGATGTGTGTAAGCAAGTCAAGGAGGGCGGTGCTGGTGCTGACGGGGGACGGCAGGGAGGCCGTGGTGGCGGGGCATTGGAGGGGGAGGGGGAGGGTGAGCACCAGCAGCAGGAGGATAAGAAGCAGCCGCGTATTGAGCAACAGCCCCGGATACCCCAAGACCCCTTTGCAGAGATCAAGCAACGTGAGCCGCCACACAGCGAAAGCCAACAGTACACTGACTGATATATCTGTGTGCTACGTGGGTGTCCCTGTGTGCAGCGATGGTGCGCCGGCCGCTCGTGAGGCGGAAGCAGAAGCGGCCCAGGGACGAGGGTGAGTAACCACCCACAAGGAGAGGCTGCACCGCACCGTGTGCACCGCTTGTGTTGTTGGCCACCGTGTACTTACCTGCAGACACACTAGACGTGCAACGCAGCGAACCGTTTCTGCATTGGGAGGTAAACGAATCGCCCCTGGCTCAACAGCTGTTGATCTGTCATGATGGGCTAGGTTGACAGTTTGCTGGCGGGGCTGAATCGCTTCGGCCAGGGGAGATGGGAGGAGATCCTATCAGTACGCCGCCACACAGCCATAGCTATAGCTACCCGAACGCACCCCCAGAACAAGCCTCCTTTACTCGTGCAGGTTTACCCGTTTCGGAGGCGCACGACTGCCGACCTGCGCGAGGCGTTCCGGCGTATGATGGCTCAGGGCGACATCGTGAGCAGCAACGGGCGGTTCAAGATACGTGACGCCAAGGAGGAGCAAAAGGACGACTAGCCGCGGGCAGCCAATGCACTGCCTGGGTGGTGTGCAAAGCTTGGAGATGTCTTGACGTCTTTGCCACGGCTGGTGGTCTGTCTGACTCGTACGTGGGGCGCGGCGCGTGTATAGTGCAGATGGATGGATGGATGCGTGTGTGTGTGTGATATGGATCGATGCGATGGATGGATGGATGTAATGATCGCACAATGAGTGGGATGAACGGCGATTGATTGACTGACTGGCCGACCGATTGTGTGCATAGCGTACGGCGTGGATGTGTTGATAGCAAAGTGCATGGTATGGTGTACTACGACGCACCCACTCATGAAAAGAAGAAAGAAACGTTTACGTATGCACAACATTGACGGGCAGGCACATATTGGAAAGGTCTGTCTGTCGCTGCACACCCACACACACACGCAGGGCATACACAGAGGCAGGCAACCAACCCACGGCACGCAGCATGGCCTCTTCGTTCTAAACTGACGGATGGATGCCAACACCACCACAAACACTCACGCATGAACTCACGCAACGATAGACAGACAGACAGACAGACAGAAGGTATGGAAATAAGCAGGGACATCCGTATATCAGACAGGGAGTGGAGTGAGTCAGAGAGGGGGATGGGTGAGCCAGCCTGTCTGTCATGGCCCTGCTGCTGCCGCTGCTTTGGCCTCGGCATACTTGTACTGAGGCAGCTGTGCACGCTTCTCCTCAGGAGATATCTGAAACACACACACAGACACACAGACAGACACACATGCCCGACGGAACTTGCTCGTCTGTCTGTGTGTGGTGTCTGTTTCCTTGGTTACCCACCTCTTCATCTTGGTACACCCATCGCGGTCCCCTCCCCTCCCCGCCCTCAGCAGAAGCAACCTATGCACACACGAACAAAAGACAGACAGCCATGAAACCCTCATCATTCCTCTACACGTCGTCACTCACCGCGGCCTCGCCGTTGGTCTGTGCGGGTGCCGTCATGCCAGGTGGCGTCAGCCCCGGGGGCATCCCCAGGCCCCCAGGCATCCCCATCCCCGGCCTCATCGCAGCAGCGGGCGGCACCAACCCTGGCGCGGCCCCCATGGCTGGCGGCACCATCCCGGCTGCTGGGGTGGGCAGTCGCGGGACCATCCCCATGGCACCTATCATGGGCATGGTGGGCATGGTCGGCCGCATGAAGCCCCCCATCATGGCCGGATACGCACCGCCAAACGGAAACGCGCTCGGCATCGCAGGAGCTGCACACACACACACACACACACACACAAAAGAGAAGCAGAAGGGGAACGATTTGAGACGGATGTGGTGTGGTGTGATGTGGGTCAGACAGGACAGAGAGGAGGGCAGTCTAGGAGTCATGAATGCATCATGCAGCAGGTGGAGTGAGTGAGTGAGTGTCATTCTGGCTTGCGTGCCTGGTGGATAGGGAGAGGGGTGGAGGAAGCGACCCAAATTGGGGTCGGTCTTGGCCAGGACATTGCCGGAGCGCGACATGCCCTCTCTCCCCGCCTGTCTGTCTGTCTGTCTGTCTGTCTGTCTGCTCCCCTGCCTGTCTGCCGACTGTCAGATCATTCGTGCGATCGATGTGTCAGTTACTTGACAGACGAAGGGAGTATGCCATGCGCTGGAGAAAAAAGGCCATCCGTCACCCGTCCATCCATCCCTCCATGTACCGCCCATGCATTGCACCCCACGTACCTCTATCACGATGGATGCCCCGACCCCCCGCTTACTTGGCACTGCAGCAGGCATCATGGGCGGCACCACTGGCATACCGTTGGGCTGCGCACCGCCGCCACCAGCACCACCACCCCCCGGAGCGCCGCCCTTGTCGCCCCGGTCATGCAGGAACTCGGCGGGCACCCCCTCCATGCCGTGGACGATGACATCTGGGTTGTCGCGCCCATCCAGCGCATTCGGCACCTTGGTGATGGTCTCCTTGTGCACCTGAAGCATGTGCACCACCAAACCTGACCACACAGCACAACATACACCAAAGGTACTGTCACATGCATCTGCAGAGCCTGATCCACTCTTGTGTCACTCACCTGTGGCGGTGTCGAGCTTGCGATGACACTGATGGCATTTGAAGTGCTTCGCCTTCTGGTGCTGGACCAGCACCTTCTCGTCGTCAAACTCACGGTCACAGTAGTAACAAAAAGGCTTCACTACATCAGCCTTTCTCTTCTTGCGTCCCCTGCAGACAGCAAAGCACACACGCAGACAAGGCAGACAGACAGGTGAGGCGTGGAATGAGACAGACAGATTCCTGCCATGCATAAAGACACACATACATACATCGCTCAAGGGCACTCCCGTACGTTCCTCGTCCTTCACGTCGCGGAGGGAGCTGCAATTCGAGCTGCAGTTGCGAGCTAAGCGGAAGGGAAGAGCGCGGGCAGGGGGATGCTGAGCTGAAACGTGGTGAACCGCACACCCGTGCAGTGCAGTAACTCATGGATTCATAGATCTGCCGCCGAGAGACCGTCGGAGGTGTGCACGAGGGCCAGCAGCACAACGCAGGAAGGATTGCGTATGATTCATTCCGCTCCTTGTTCTGTTGTTGTTGCTGTTGTTGTTGTTGCTGCAGGTGACCCCGTCTTGATGATGAGTCGCTCTGCTTGAGGCTATCTATCACACCGTCTTCCAACGATGCCGTCGCTCTCTTGGCATCTTCTCTGCATCTGGACGGCAGTGGTGGCCGCGGTGACAGTCATCAGAGCTGACCATGCTAGCAGAGGCAGTTACGCTCTTCGGAATGGCGACGCGCGGGCTGCAGCGCTGTTTCGGCCGAGGTGGCATCAGAGAAGGGAGAGAGAGATCAGCGCTGTCCCTCCTCTGACCGAGGAGGACCCTGAGTGCAGCTGTGAAGGTGCCGGCCCTTCCCTTGACTCTGTCGTCTGTTTATCTGGCGGCAATCGGCAGCTACCCGGCATCCTGTCAGTGTGGCTACTGCCGTTCGCATGGATACGCAACCTGCTCGACCGTATCATCTATCGTGACTACTACAGCGGCCAGGCAGCCAGCCGCGTCTTCCTTCACCAGCTCGACCACGACCTAAAGTCGCCCGCCCACCCGCGGCCACTGTTCTTTAAGGGTTCATTCAAAGGTGCGCTCGACCACGCCAGGCAGACGTCGCGTTTTCTGCTGGTGTACATCCGGCCGGCGGCTGTGGCTGCCAAGAGGAGGGGAGGGCGGCGGCCCACCAATGTGGAGCAGGATGTACACTTCCTGACGCGAAGCCTGACGTCGTCTGAGGTGTGTCACTTTTTGGGCGAGCACTTTGTGTGCTGGGGTGCCATCTCGAGCCAGCAGCAGGCTGGCAGGGCGCTGAGAGAGCTCAAGGTGCGATCCAAGCGGTTCCCCACTCTCATCATCGTGCACTCACCTGGTAAGTAAGGAGCGCTTCCCTTGTAAGCAACCATAGTACACGCGTGTGTCAAGCATGCATGCATGTTCTGCCTTCAGCCACCCCCGCCAGCCCTCTGAACCCCCCCGGCCCCCCCTCAATGCGGCCCTCGGTGCTGACGACCCACGCCTGCCGCCCCCCTCCCTCATCGGCACAATTCCTCAGCTGGCTCAACACCACCGCCAATGTGTACGGGGCACGGCTGGACAAAGACAGGGCCGCCATGGCAGCATTCAGGAGACAGCGGGCACTCGCAAAGGAGCAGAGGGAGGCCTACAGAGAGGCGCTCAAGTGAGGAGAGAGAAGGAGGGTCGCTAGCTGATTGTGCCCATGGTGTGCGATTGGTACGTACAGGCGCGATCGAATGGCAGGTCATGAAAGGGAGGGGGCCAGCGAGGGTGCTGGCGAGCCGTTGGAGGACGGCAAGGGCACATTCGACCTTGCTGATGAACCAGAAGCGACGGCAAGGGACGTCGTGACACTATCAGTGCGGCTACCCGACGGCAGGTAAGGTGCCCAGACGCCGCCGTATGTTGGCATCGCGACGTGATCTGTGTCACGTATATGTCTTGCAGGCGGTTACGTCGGCGGTATCGGCTGACAGCCAAATGGGAAGATGTGTACCAGTGGATAGCCAACAACTACCTCCCTGAAGACGCCGCCAATGCACCCCCTCCCCCGCAAGCCAACGGAACATCCCTCCCCCAGCCACCCCCTCCCACCCCACGAGAGCTGGTGCGTCAGCTGCAGCTGAGCGTGGCTTTCCCACCTGAGGCCAGGATACGGCTGAGCTGGGCGAGCGACAGGGGAAAGCAGCTGCGGAGGTCTGGGCTGGGGAGGGGAAAGAGTGATGAGCGTAGGACGGCCATACTGCATGCGAAGATCGCGTGAATCGACGTGATTTGTGGTATGTGGCGTGATACATGGCTTTGTCGTGTTGTGGTCGAGTGAACTTGACTCGTGTGTGCGTCCGTCCACACATAGCTAGATGAATTCGTCAGATGTGTCTAAAGTCCAATTCCACATCCATCCATGTATTTCACGAGCAAGTAAGGTCTGCAGCTGGACAGAGACACGCTGCTCTGATGCGATTGCGACATGTCTCTCTCCGTCCCTTCACATGTCTGTCGCTCGATTGGTCTCCAGTGTGGGGTCGGTGATGACATCACCCGCACAGTAGACAGTCGGTAGAGGCATCCCCTGAAGGAGGCAGGACGATACACTTCAGCGTGTCTCTGTTTGCTGTGTGGTCTGTCCCTCTGTCTCTCTCTCCCTACCGGCATCATGAACATGCCGCCTGCGAAAGCCTTGAAGCCCTGGCATGTATGAGTGTACCCCATACTGCTCATGGCCACCATGTACGTCCAGTCGACGCACGTAGTCATCTCCGTGGCAACGAGGAAGGCACAGTGGGCCTCAGTGATGCAGCTCTGACATGTAGGCAACGAAATCGGGGACAAAGGCAGCTCTCGTGGCACGCACGCACCCACCGTGATGTCTGTGAGCTGGTGGCACATCTGCGGCTCGTTGCTCGACGGCGGCTCACATGCATCCAGATGGTCCGACAGCTGAATGGCGTACTCCTCCTTCGCAATCAGGTGGCTCTCAGTCTCTTGTATGGCGGATTGCAGCTCGTCAAACTGCTGAACGTAAGGCTCCAGCTCCACTGCATGGGAGGGCGTGACACGTCAGCCAAGGTGTTTCATTGCCGCTGTGTCTTCCCCACCTGCACACATTTCTTCATTGGAAGGGCACTCGCAGGGGCTGCGACAAAGGGGAAGCAGAGAAACGTGAAAGCAGTGGCAGCTGGCTTCTTTCAGCATCTCACCTGCATGCAGGGCATGGGGGTGGCACAGGCTCGACTGCGACACAGAGAAGAAGGAAGAGACACAAACAGATGCTGCCATGTGCGGTCGTGATTTGCCTAATGGAGGGGTCCATTCGAAATCGCCGATGACCTGAAGGCAAAAACAGAGGGCAAGACTCTGCATGTTCCCGCATTTGCCTACCATCCAGGAGGCCTGCTCTTTTGCCGGATGACGCATATCACTGAGACGGGAAACAAGAAAGACAGGAAAGAGCTTGACATACTAAGAAGCGAGGCTCTCGTAAGGTATTACAGCGGCGAGCATTTCTCCTCCTGGATGAAGATCTCCGCAAATGTGTCCCCCCTCTTCTGCACGCGGAGCTCTGAACCGACACACCAATGAATGCAAGGTCTCTGCCCGTTGGTTCGTCGCTTACGCCCCACGTCTCCTCCGTTGAATGTCGCAATGTTCGCGAAGAAGTGTGCATTCGGGATGGAGAAAGCGAAATCGATTCGATGGGTTTTCTCGGTCAGCTGGGTCGGCTGTCGAAGAGAAGGCATAGCCAACATCACAGCAAAGTCATTGGCACGCTGTCTTCCATACCGTGATGCCTCCATTGATGGACACACTGACAGTTGGTGTGGTCAGGATCGACTGCACAGGCTGAGAAAATGCGACGTAGCCAAGGACTGACAGGAACAGCCAACATAAGATCGGTAGCGTGTGCAGGCGCCTTCCTCCCTCCCCCACCTTCAGCCTCAAAGTCGGAAGGGTTCTTGGGGTCTCTGAGCTGCCTGCCTTGTGTCTCCAGCGCAACCTTGAAACCAGCAGGACTCAAGTCCTTGACCCGTTGCTTAAGAAACACGCGACCGGAGGCGTACGTCTGGACCTGCACTCGCACAGCATTTGGGGGCGATCACTTTGGTGCACGGTCACTCCGTACTTGAACGAGGAGGACGGGCGTCGACGTAAAGGTCGCCTCAGGTGGAAATGGCACCGGCACGAACTGCTTGTTGCCAGGGACCGACACCGTCCCAGCTGAAAGACACCATTCCCAGCAGATGGGGGATCGCCGGCTGTGCATGAATTGAGACCTTACCGGCGACAGTGAGGCCCTGAGGGATGGTTGTCACGAGCTTGTGCACGCCGCTCTCCACCACCATCCAGTCGATTGGGGTGCGAAGGTGCCACTGGTCGCGACACGGCGCCGGTTCGTCAAGCCTAAGCTCGAAGGAGCCAGGTTGGACATTGCGGATGCGCACCACCGCCTCCTGTCTGCCCCTCATGTCAGGCACTCCCCCAATCACAACCGGCATTACGAACGAGCTCTTGGTCTGAACGGGTATCCAGGCCTTCACATCATTGTCTACACGACCCAACTCAATTGGAAGAGGGGGCCCTTCAGCTGACAGACACACAGGAGCCAGCGCATCGGATCGGTTTGTCTGTCTCTTCCCCTCTGCCACCCCAGATGTCTCACTGACCCTCGGTTTGCATGAGGGAAATGGACGTGGTGTTGTTGGTTGTGTTGGCTGGTGGGGCAGGGGCCGACTCATTCTGGTGGGTTGAGGGCAGGGGGCATCCCCCGGCCGTTAGGCTGTCCTCGAGGCCCTTGATGGTGTTGTCCAGAGTGGATATTCGCTGCGTCTGCACGACGCAAACCAGGAAACATACACACATCTGGAGTGGCTGCCTCTGACCAGGTTTTGTGCGACAATGCCGAGATTCTGGTTGACAACCGACTACGGAACAACAAAACCGCCAAGCGAACATCTCTTTGGCGCGACTCTCAAGCTTGTCGGTGCCCACCTTCTGATTGATCAGCCCACTGCAGTTTGCCGCCGGACACGCACAAGGCGCACACAATGGACATACCACCCGCTCGCAGCATTCATACTCGTATGACACCTTCTGCCCGGCTGAGCCTCTCTTCAGATGGAAGCTGTTTAGCCCTTCGTTGGCCTCGCACTCGAGGCGGTGCCTGTCGAGATGGAACCATGCCGCCGGGTCTGCAGAACCGCCGTCAGTCTCCATCGGGGTGTTGAGGGATCGGCAGCTGATTGCCGTCTGCTGCTCGGGCGTGTATTGGCTCATGTTGGTACATTTGTACTCGTACCTGTGGCATGGGCCGACAGATAGATGGAGAAACCTGTCCTTGACAGGCTTACTGATATTGTCCCGAATGTGATCTCCTCAGGTGGACACTCGTGAGGACCTGCCAGGTCCAGGGAGAGAAAGGAGGATGTCTTCCCAGCCACCGCATGTATGCGGTCAAGTCTCACCCCTCTTGCAGGGCATTTGACGTGGTGTCTGTCCAGATAAACGAGCCTGCCGTCTCCCTCGTCATTCTGTTCGAAGACAGACACAGACAGACAGGCGTGGGTCCTTAAGGCCGTCCTGTGTGAAACGTCACCATGGGTGTGGCCCGTTCGATCAAATCAGCGCCGCCAACGAGGCCGCAACCTGCAGGAACAAGAACAGACCCACGATCTCTTGTATTTCCCAGCCCTCCGAGAGGGAGGGCGTTCAACATGCAGAAACATACATACATACATACATACATACGTACACGTGTAGACGAACTGAGCCTTGGTGCCGTTTTCATGGGCCGCGCGCATCTTCCTTAGCGCACCACTGGTGCCGCAGTCAACATGGTGCCGGTCAAAGAATATTCTGCAGTACACAAGGGAAAGACAGAGCTGACATCCCTTTGCAGTGACCTATTCCATTGTCGCCTTACACGTTGTGGCATTCGTTCCAGGGTGTGGCGCGCTCCTCGCAGAAGGCTGCAGGGTCGCTTGCTGCACCAGACACACACACAGAGATTAGTGCAAAGTGGAGATTCTCGCCAGATCTACCTGTCACGTTCGCCATCGCCATCGACACATCAAGTGTGGCGGGCTCAGCCGATGACAACACATCGCGCAGAAATAGCCTTGCTGTGACAGCTGACGGCAGCAAAGCGCAGAGCGGGAGCAGCGGGAAAAACATGGCCGCCAGCATCTCGCCGTAAATTCTGCGAGGCTGGGGGCGGGCCCCCCGCATGCGCATGCAGTCTCACGGAAGCTTTGCACTGAAGACCCTTCTCCAAAGCTGATTCTGAGGCATGCCTAGTCGAAGAGACACGATGATGCCGAGGCTCGGCAAGCTGCTGAGGATGGGCAGGGAGAACAAGAATTCGCACGAGAAGTCGCTGCCTCTGGAGGCCAACCCCGATGTGATGAGCGGCGGGAATCGTGGGGCCACAGATCGATGCCTTTCGCCGTCGCCGCCGCCAAGACGGGAGCCCACAGAGACGCTAGGCCTGCATCCAAGGAGAAGCAGCAAACGACACCCCAGTCTACAGCCCATCACTGAAGGGCGACCGCTTGCCATGGACGAGAGACTGAACGCGTCTTCGAGGGGGGAGGGTGGGGAGAGGGAGGGACAAGGGGCAGGGGTGAGGCGCAGTCATGCGCCGCGGGAGCCCGCTCCCGTACGGCAGCTGCTCAAGGCCGGATTTGACAATGAGGAGGCGTTGGAATCGAGGGCCAACGTCCACAGTCCGCAGAGGTAGGAACAACATCGAAGAAAGAGATCTTGCCATGTTTTGCAGGTCTGGTTTCAATCCTTTTGCAGGTCGTGCCTTGTCGGGTGTGGGACTCTGTCCCTGCCGTCAAACGGCAACGACAATCACCAGAAGTACGGTCCCGAGGCGACGAAACGACTCGCGTCTCGCACTGATGCCTGATCCTGGTTTGTTCCCTTGCAGACCGTTGAGTGATTGGATAAGAGAAACGCGGGGGGAGATCCTAAGGATAGGTGTCCGCCCGAGCCAAAATCCAGGATTCAAGCGGCTCGCTCAGAAGAATCGCGCCGCTCGAGAGCAGCAATCGTTGTCCCCTGCAGCTGCCCCCGCAGAGCAGCAGTCATCCTCTCCTGCTGCTGCTCCTGTGAGTTCCCTCGGCTCATCTGCGTCGGACAAGTGAGACACAAAGCCGAACAAAAGAGACAGACAGCACAGACGACGCCTGTCCTTGTAGGTTGATTGCCAAGCCTTCGGGATCGCTAATTAGTATGGTCACCGCTGCCATCAGCGGCTCTCTGCATTGCTTGACTTGCCCCTTCGGCTGTTGCGAGCGGCCGGTTGTCGCTGAGGGCACAGAATTCGAAGGCGAGACAGACCACTGACCCTCAACGTACCAAACGCATCCCGTCTGGAGACTGTTGGTGAGTGACGCGATCATTGCCCCCTTTTCGCGTCTCAAGAGCGACTCTCTCCATTAATGCGAATGGCTGACATGATCGGTGTGTACCTGACTGACTTCGATGTATGCATGTGCAAGCGAGACTCCCATCGTGCTTCACGGTGGTCCATGCCCATGTGCAGCATATCAGTTTATTTCATGCCTACGCGCAGTCTGTCCATCCATTTGTCCAGTCTGTCCATCCATCCATCCGTCTACTCACTTTATCTACTGCGTCGCACTACATCCATATGTGTGTTGTGTATGTACATACACCAACTACATACTCATAGTCAGCCAGCCAGCCAGCTTTGACCTACTCGACGGCCTTACAAACCGCAATCATCGAAAACCTTCACACAGACACAGACACCACATCAGAGGCAGGCACACCTAGTGCATAGCGTCAACCGTTTCGTGGCTGTGGCCTCACCGCAGTTCTCCTGGGTCTCGCGCCATGAACTGCCCGGCGACACGAACCGCATCCTGACCACACACACGAGAGGGGGAGGGGGGGCCATCCCTGGTGTGTCTGTCTGCATGATGTGTCTGCACCCATCTCACCTTGAGGAATGTTCCGGGCGACGATGGGCCGTGGTTGATGGGAAACTCCTTGCGCCCGTCCAACTCATACAGACAGCCGTCCATCTGCAGACAGACAGAGAGAGGGACATGAACAATGCGCACATGGCGGGAGGGCTGCTGTGTCACCTCGATGAGTGCGGCGAAGTGCGTCTCGACTTGTGCATCGCGTGTGGGCACTCGCGACTGTCCCTGCTGCTCCACCTCTGTGTGGGCCTCCTCTATCTCATCGTCCTCCTCCAACGCCTGACACCCACACACATATGGACACACACACGGATGGAAGCAGTCATCTGTCCATGTGTGTCTTGGGTCAGTCACCTCGGCTCGCTGGTCAGGGCTGAGGGGCATCGTCTTGGTCAGAAACTTGTTGAAGAAACCCTCGGCACCTACACAGGGAGGGACATCCAGTGACTGACACAGTAAGTAAATGAAGTGTCTAGTGCGTGTATGTTGGCCTTCCCACCCACCGAGAGGCTGTTTGTCCCGTATGTTGAGCACCGTGTGGAGGATGCCGACAGTGCCACACGCATTGCCAACCGTCTGCACACGTGAACGGAAACACAGAGGAACGCCACACGATGATGGCCTAACTGTCTCGCGTGCGTCACTGGTTGGACCAACCTGACCTGTTTGGTGAAGTAGACCTTGGGTGAGACGGTCTGCCCGTTGGCCTTGACGCGAGCAGCCTCCTCCTCGCGATGCTTCTCAGTCTGATGGGACACGAGTACCCACACACACAGTGCAGTGTAGTCGTGCCTTGTGTGGGCTGGTTACAGTGTCTTTGATAGGGAACAGCAGAATCAACCCATACACAGGCTTCGGCACCTGCACACACGCCACCATGGCCCGACACACACATGCACCTCCTCTTGGTGTGATTCCCTTCCCTCTGACCATGTCGAGGGCCCAGTCCTCAGTGGTAAGGACGTCCACGCACTGCACGGGCGGGCCGCCCAGCTTCATTATGTACTCGGTCATCACATCCGGGTTGGCCTCCAGAGGCAGCCACTTCTTGTGCGACTTCTTGTTGTCCTTGCTCATCCTCGGTAGCCCGCCGAGCCGCCCTTTCCAGCCGAGTGCAGCAGGAAGACGCAGATCTGTCGGGCGGTGGAGAGCCCCACTGCTGAGGATGCAGACCGCAACGAAAGCCAAGCAGCACGATGACAGGGCAATAGGCATGCAACGAAGGTGTCCAGTGCGAGGAAGCCGATTTGCAGATCTGCTGCGAGCTTAGAAGCCGAAAGGGAGAAGGGAAGGGAAAAGGAGGAAGAGATGTGGCCACCGGCAGAGGGCGTGTTTGGCGCAAGCTCTCCTCGAGTATCTGAGGTGGTCATCTGGCTGTGCTATCTTCTGTTTCTGCTGCCGGTGCTGTATCTCATCTACACCATTCTCTTTCTGCATCCGTCGAGCCGCCGGAAATGGAAGAAGGTGGGCGAGCTGCTGTCGCACCCCGACGAGACGACGGCCCTGCTGCGGTACTTCATCCGCAAGAAGCGGCAGCTGCCTACCAACCTGACCGAGGAGGAGCAGTACTGCTTCTTCATGCTCACCAGAGTCAGCCGCAGCTTCGCCTCCGTCATCATCGAACTGCATGACGAACTCAGAACCGCGGTAAGTGCCATACATGGCGGAAGCTATAACAGCAGATGCGGTGAGGACAGACATGCGTGTGTCCGTGTGTGGTGTCAGATATGCGTATTCTACCTGACCCTGAGAGCACTCGACTCCATTGGTAAGGCGCGAGAGAGTCAGATCAGATCAGATCTGCAGCCAGCCGTGGCTCTATTCTATCTACCTGTTTGCATTGCACTGGATGGGTGGATATCATATGTGTGTGCTTGTGTTTGTGTTAGAGGACGACATGACGATAGACCTGGAGGTCAAGCTGGCTGAGCTGCGGCAGTTCTCTCAGAACATCCAGATCAGGGGATGGAACAGCAGAAAAGGATGTAAGCAAAGCAAGCTGACAAACCATGACGCCACGCCCATCCATTCACACACTCGCCTGGCCTGCCTCTCGTGTCTGTTCGTCCGGTCCGCGGCAGACGGTGCGGCGAATGTCTATGAGCAGGAGCTCCTCGAGAATTTTGATCGCGTCATCGCTGTCTACTACAGACTCAGCCCGCAGTAAGCCAGCACGCACAAGACAGCATCAGAGTGCACAGGCGAGACGGACCGACGCCGACCGCTGGACGAGTATGTGTCGTGTAGGTATCAGAGTGTGATAAAGGAGATCGCTACCCAGATGGCGGAGGGCATGGCGATATACCAGACCAAGGAGGTGGCCACCCTCAAGGACTACGACAGCTACTGCTACTACGTCGCGGGGCTCGTGGGCGTCGGGCTCACACGGTAGGTGTGCACACCAGCGCCCAGTCAGTCCATATATCGCATCACGACAGACATCTCAGTCGGCAAGTGGCTGTGGTTGTGTGGTTGTGTGTTGGTGTCTGTCGGCATCACATCAGGTTGTTTTACCACTCTGCTCTGATGGGTGACAGCATGTCCAACATCGACGACCTGGCCATCTCCATGGGCCTCTTCCTGCAGAAGACCAACATCATCAGGGAGTAAGCCACACAGACAACACAACCAGGGACGATGCATGAATGAACGAACAGATCGGCTCACGAATGAATGCGTGTGTATGTGTGTGTGCAGTTACTTGGAGGACACAGTGCAGCAGCCGCCTCGTTGCTTCTACCCCAAGGAGGTGTGGAGCAAGTACGTCAAGCACCTCGGCGACCTGCAATACCCACAATACCACAACGAGGTCCGTCACGCACTTCCAATCGGTGGCTGGCGACGGCTCGATGTATTGATTGTCTGTCCATTCAGGCGTTGAGTTGTTTGAATGACATGGTGACGGACGCCCTCCGGCACGTACCAGACTGCCTACAGTAAGCCACACACGCACACACAGACGCTCGAGTACCTACGGTCGATTGCTGCGGTGTGCAGGTACATGTCGTTGGTTGACGAGGAGAGCTGCTTTCGGTTCTGTGCGATACCCCAAGTCATGGCCGTCGCAACACTAGAGAGGTGGGTATCTGAAACGACTAGCCACACTACACTCACTGGCCGGCTGGCACCTTGGTGTTGCACATCACATAGGTGTTACAACAACCACGATGTGTTCACGGGCGTCGTCAAAATCCGCAAAGGGGAAGCCGCCAAGGTGACTGCACTGCACGGCCCCACATGATAGCGTGTCAATGGCCTGTCTCTCTCTTATGCTATGCGTCCATCAGCTGATCCTTCAGTCGTGCAGTTTTGAGAGCGTGGTGCGGATCTTCGAGGAGTACCTGCACACCATCGCCTCCAAAATACCAAAGAAGGCACACAGCGGAAACCAGTAAGACCAATCACACTTGACACACACACCCCTGCCAGCATTGCATTCACGACATGCCTGCCTGTCTGTTTGCCTGTCTGTGTGACTGTGTTGTAGGACGCGAGGGCGTGTTGCCGACGCGCTGCAGTCTGTGCGGCTATGGAAGAAGCAAATCAACACGCGCAGGATGCAGCAGGGAGCCAAGAAGGGCGACTGACTGAATGCTGGACGGTCAGCTGCCCCTCCATGCTTCGCCGCGGGGGAGACAGTTTTGGAGAGGGCTGTGGATGGATGAGGTGCGTTTGGTGGGCTGGTTCTCTGTCTCTCTCTCTCTGTCTGTCCGACTGTACGCCTGTCTGTCTGTCTGTCTGTCTGAGTACCCGGCTAGCTGCTTTGCCATTTGCTGTTTTGTGTTTTGCCGGTTGGTTGTTTCTTTTGCCTGGGGGGGTGGTCGGGTCGGCTTAGTTGATGGCTGGTGGGCTGGCTGTTTGCGGGTGCGTGTACATACATACCGGTGAGAGGCGTCGAGATTGACAGTTTTTCCGACGCGAGACGCTGCTGCTCACGTGGTGACTCGACTGCTATCTTACGTACGTACGTCTGTAATTGTGTCTGCATGGCTTCGTCACTCACTCTCTCATTCGCCACCTAGGTATGTAGCTCAGTTTTGTATCCCTCGCTCCCCCTCTCTGCCTCGCTTGACTGACTGACTGACTGACTAAGCTGCCAGGACACGGCACAGACACAGGCATATGATGTACATGCCCGCCTCCCCCCCACTCACCCGGCAGGCCATCTGCGTCCATTATTCGTGTGAGCCGTATGCGTCAGTGAGAGAGCGCTTCCTTCCTTCGGTCATCCCATCCATCCCATTGGTAGCTAGGTTCTCGTGCTGTTCGGCCGGCAGACGCAGGTGTGTCAGCGTACAAGAGAAGAGAGAGGGCCGTTTTGTAAGCTACCCTACCCTGACCCCTGACGTGTCGTGTCTTGAATTCGTGCGTATATGAGAGTGTGGGGTGGACGGGCGTGATGATTCTTTCATTTCGTTTGGCTCGTGTCTGCAACCTACCTGTTGAGTTGAGCGAGCGACAATGCAATGGACAATGAGCGCCGACGGCCAGGCCCCAAATGGCGGCCTTTTGGTCCGCGTGATAGCTACATCTCTTGGTTTGTTTTTTGCCCTTTGTTCGTTCGTTTCCTGAATGACTGACTGACGGGCACAGACTGCCGTCAGGTGAGTGAATGACCCATGGCATGGATGGGACTCTGTATGTTCTGTGCTGCCATCCTGTGTGCTGTGATGCGATTTTTTCGCCCACTTTGCTTTCTTGATGAGTGCACACAATGGATGGGAGAGGAAGGAAGAGAGATGGTGGAAGCGGCAGGGCAGGCCTCTGTGATCGAGGGGAAGAGTATAAGAGAGAAGAAAGAAAGATGGAGAGAGACAGCGGCTGGTCAGCTGCGGCGAGTGAGGCATGCATGGCATGGATGGATGGCCCTGCCTGCCTGCCTGGTTTAGATGCACGTATGTGTGTATGCATGTGAGGATGGATGTACGTGTGTCGTTGCTTGAGCTTTCGTACCGCATTTGTATTGTGTCCTTCCTTCCTTCCTTCCTTCCTTCCCCTTAATCACTTGCCTTGCTCACTCTCTTGCCCCTCCCTCCCTCGCTGACTATCTTGTCTCACTGACTGAGGTGTCTATCAGTCAGTCAGTCCCACCCTCTATCTATATTTATGTGAGTGCATGGTATGCATGGTGCCTGAATGCGTGTTCGTGGGTGGCATCTAGTGAGTGTCGTGCCTGGGTGCATGGCACGGCACGGCATGGCATGGAATTGGGGCGATCTTTGTCAGTCAATGTACATAACCCATCTGTCTGTCTGGCTGGCTGAATGTGCTGCCTGCGCTGTGAGACCTGACCCCAATTCCTGACTTCTCACTCACTGGCTCGCTCGGTTGCTGCATGTGTGTCTGTGAGTGTGTGCCGTGCCGTGTCACTTTCTCATGTTTGTGGTGCAGGTCAGCGCCCCCCCTTGTGCGCGACGCTGGTACTCACTCCACTTCCTCTTTCCATGGCGGACTCGATTTGACTATTTCCATCTATCCAGAATCCAACCACTAGTACTAGACACGTGTCCGTCCGTCCACATGAACCATCCCCCATCGATCTGGTCAGTCATTTACAAGAAACGTGGATGGAGCAGAAAGCCAAACACACACCCATTAAATAAACACATGCATCTATCCCATCTATCGTATCGCCCCCATCGATCCACTTGATGACTACTTCGCATGGCATGCAGCCCTACTCCGCCCAGCCCATCAATCTTTCAATCCGTCCGTGTGTCTTATCTAGAGCTCCTGCACCTTGTGGGTTGCGGCCGGCCCCGTGGTCTTGGCGTAGTGTCCGTCTTCCTTCTTCTGTCGCTGGCCGATGGATGACAGCAGGGCCATGCGGTTGTCCACGATCCGCCGGATGATGTCGCGGAAGGTCAGGATGGGCTCGTCCCCCTCCTCCCCGCCGCACCGCATGTCAATGGTGCGGTAGATGCCCAGCTTCTTGGCCACGGCGTAGGGGTCATCTGTGTCAGTGCCCGGCTGTTTGCCCAACGACAGCTCGTCCAGGATGCTGCCCCCGACCACGACGTGGATGTCGTAGGTGCGGATGAGGTACTCGGACACCTTGCGTGGCGCGCCGATGAGGACCTCGTCGACGACCTTCATGGCCAGCACGTTGAGGGTGCGCTCGAGGAGGTTCATGACGGGGAAGCCCACCCCCTTGACGGCCGCGACGGTGCTGTCGTCATAGAGGCCGACCAGCAGGAAGGTGCCGTGGGTGGCCTTGGCCTGCTGCAGGAACCGCAAATGGCCCACGTGGAAGATGTCGAACGACCCGTCCACGTACACGATGGTGTCGCCAGGCTGCGGCTTGCGGCCCTGATTGATGAACTGCATCAGCCGGCGCGTGCTCATCAGCGACTGTTTGGACGCCCTGTCCGAGTTGAGCGACCAGTCGACGTAGTGGGTGCTGGTGGTGGGGCTGGTGGGCGGCTCCAGGGTCGGGGACTCCTCCTTCATGTTCTCAGCTGCCATCAACAGCCGGCTCACCAGCCGTGTGGTCGATATGCCTTCGGTCCGCTTGAAGATCTTGAGCCGTCCGGCCGCCCTCGGCTCGGCGTAGCAGTCGGAGCCGTCCGCACAGGGGGCGAAGTCGTCCCCATGCGCCACGTAGTCGCAGCCGGTCTTCTCGAGGAAGGCCATGTCGACGGCATAGGGCGTGCCGACCATGACGTCGTCCACCCACTTGCAGCCCGAGACGAGCTCGCCCCGCTCCTGCTCGGTGTAGATGGGCCGGATGCCCTTGGTCTGCAAAGCCTCCTCGTCCGACACCACGCCCACCACCAGTCGGTCACCCATCGCCCGCGCCTGGCGGATGGCGTTGAAGTGGCCCGAGTGCATGAGGTCGAAGATGCCGTCCGCGTAGATGCTGATGGCCTTGCGCGTCGACGGGACGGACGCATACGGCTGAGGGCCGCCGCCACTCGCCACGTTCAGCGCATTCACGGTGTGCTGCAGGGCCTGCAGATCCGCATCCACCACCACACGCGTGCGCTCATCGATCATCTGCTGCAGGTCAGGCCGCTTCCAGACGGCATCCAGCTCGGCGGCGAGGGCGTCGTCTTCCCGCACTCGGTTGACGAGGGCGATGAGGCGGTACATGTCGATGGCCGTGGATGCAGATTCCTGCATCCTGAGAAGAGGCCCGTGCTTGCTTAAATCTTCCTCGCCCTCTTCTCTTTTCACCCTTGACGTAAGCCTGAGCTCGCACCTTTGAGAGTCGATTGTCTCAACACAAGATCCGGAGGTCTCAGGGCATTCATTGATTCCATTCATCTAATCTTAGTGTCCACACGTCGTCTATTCATTGATCAGTCCCGCAGCCGCGCAATGCAAAAACCACCAATACCACTTACAGAGACAATAAAAGCCGATGCTCCCTGCAATGCAGTCAATCAGATTTCGGCAACAGCGGTAGGCCATACCCATGTAGCCCTCCATAATATACGATCTCCATCCATGACACCCTGTTCCTCCCAGTGATCCTCCTCCTTATGGTCAGTCATGCCACGATTCCTCGTCGAGCTCGTCCTCCCCCCAGCCCTCGCCCAGCCCATCGCCATCCACCACCTCATCATCGTCATCGCCCGCATCAGACACGCTGCCATACGCGCCATACGAGTACCAATCGTACATGTAATCGTTGTAATCGTATGGACCCCCTCGCCATCGTATGCTCTCGAAGGCCTCGATGGCCTGGCCATCCAAGCCCAGGTCCTGTGAGAGGTACGTCCTGATTGCCGTGTCAGTGTCAGTGCGGCTCGGCGCCCTACGACGCCTGACGCTCCCGGGAGGCCCCTGGTAGTGGCTGCCGCTGCTGGCTTCGGGCTGCGAGGTCTTGTTATGCTGAGCGATGTAATGGAGAGTAGTGCCTTCACGAATGGCGAAGAGATCCTCGATCGATAGTGAGAATGACGCCACGCGGCGGAAGGGAGAGGCATCCAGCCGGAAATCTACAACCCGAAACGAACAAGCAGCCAACAGTGGTTTGAAGGGCGGCATGTGCGTCCCCTCTTTTGTGTGAGTGAGTCACCTTGGTGTGAGCCTGGGAAGATGCCAGCATTCTTGTACTCGCCTTGGCTGGAGCTCAAGAGATCCAAATACGCCAACAGTCGGCCCTTCGACTTGCCCTGCACCAATACAACCACGCGACGTGTCACATGTATGTTACATCTGTGATTGGTTGGGGTTGGGTCGCTGCGTACCAGCCCTGTCAGAGAGTCTTCAGTGTCGTCTGTCTGAAGCTTGGGCTGAGGCGCGGATGCAGGGGTGTACTGCTCGATCGGGTTGCCGTGGTCATCATACGTCAGCTCTGATGCCTTGTCACGCTCTCGATCCACCAGTCCACCACCACGCTGCATGCATGTACCATATCACCCCCACAGGCACACAGACAGACATGTTTCGTAGAAAGGAACGCCCAACCTCTTCTCAGCCCTGCTGCTCACCGATGTGTGGTCCCGGTAGAGAGAAGACAAGGCATTGAGCAGCGGATAGCTGAAGCAGCCAAGAACTCCGCCCAGCAGCAGCATTCCTTCGCTCCACTCTAGCCGCCGATTGGTCAGCAGCTGATGACGCCGGCCCTGCTCGCAGCTCGGGGAAGAAATACACGCGGCTGTGTGTCATCTGGAAGGGGTGGAACATGCCATCATACCGCCACTTGCACTCCTTGGGTGCATACGAGCTGTCGGCAGTCGAGGATACCGGGAAGCCGGCGAGGGCCAGCGAATGGGTAGAGTGTCCCACCCACAGGCCGAATGAGGGGGAAGGCTGAAAGTAAATTGCAGCCTTTCCACACTGTACCTTGAGCTGCTGGCCTCCGACGCCAGGAAAGGCAGAAGGGAGGGTGCGAGGGATAGTAAGGGCTCGGGGGCTAGACAAAGGCCGCTCAGAAGTCTCAGTCGCGATGGCCTCTGGAATGATCCGCACCTCCGTGCCGAGCCTGCTGTCCAGCCGCACCTCAGTGCCGCTCATGTAGTGCACCACACGAAACCGAAGCACCTCCTGCCGGCGCCAGACAATGCCAACGTCGCTAGTGACGGGCGTGGGGACATTGTCCTCCCAAGGACCGTGATATGGGAGGCCAAGAGCCACGATCGTGTCGCCATGGCGAGGGTCACGTTCAGCCAACCGGTCACGTTCAGCCAACCCTGCAGACAGAAACAACGCATCGGAGATCGTGAGGGCAGACGTGAAGAGTGGCCTGCTCTTCCTGACAGATGCTTTTCCCCACCTGGCATCGCGACTGCCGACGGACGAATCGCGACTGCCGACCCACGCATCGTGACTGCCGACCCACGCATCGCGACTGCCGACCCAACCGGGCCCGTGAGCGGATGAGACACTGGCTGTTGTCGGCGAGCCCTCGTTTCCCTGACACTGAAAAGGGTCGCCCCCAATCTCTCGGACAGGCGCAGCAGCACGCCGACGAATGGCGACCCTGCGCTCACGAAGAACGACACCTCAGGATGCCAGAAGGGGACGTTGCTCCCAATCTCCTCCCCATCAATCTTCTTGGGCGGCGGCTCTTTGCTCGGGTCGAACACCGATGTAGTCAGCCGCTTGCCGTCCGGTGTGAAGGTCTCCAGCCAGATGGCCGTCGGCAGGGGGTCGGGCGGCTCGCGATGGTAACGTGCCTGACTGACAGGGGAGGGCACCCACGCCTGGCGTGCGGGAGAGGCTCCTAAAGCCCTTCCTCTCGGCCTGCCCCTCCCTCCACCCCTCCGCCGTGATGGCCAAACGGCTGGTGCTGCTGCTGGGGGTGGGGGTGGGGGTGGTGGAGGCGGGGGGAGAGGGTTCCACTGTGGCTTCGTCCATACTTGAGTGAACCGAACCAGCACGACACTGCCGTCCACGCCAGCTTTCGTCGGGACCAGCAGCGCCGCGGGGGACAGCCGCTCGAATGACGAGAGGCTTCCTCGAGGGCTGCCACTTCTGCCTCGAACATCAGGCGGTCCGCCTCGTATGCGGAGACTTCGGGATAGTACCGGCTGTCACACCCTCGTGCAGCGCCCTCGTTTGAAGGAGGACTCTTCTTCGGTGGGCGCGCCGCGTGCGACTTGCAGAAGAACGCCCTGCAGACCACACAGTGAGTATGCTTCGAGTGATGGTCGGTGTCTGTGCGTCTTGACATACCTGCCGTGTGCCACGAACATAGTGGTGGGGAAGAAGGACAGTCTGCCACAGGGCTTCCACTCGTCCGTATGGGCGTCGTAGCGCGACACGAAGGCCTCTGGCGCCTGAACATTGAAGGCAGAGACGCAGTAGAGGCAGCCGTGGAGGACGAAGCCATTGCCCTCCTCAGACGTCCTGCCTGGCAAAGGGCCTGCACACAAGACAAGACACATGCAGTGAGTGACTCACAGACATCGACCTGCCAGATCTTGCCTCACGTGATGGTGTCGGCTTTGGCGTGAATGAAGGAAGCAGCCGCACACGCGTCTTCTTCACCCTTTCCTCCGTCTCACGATCGGCCACCGAGAACTGCTTCCTGTGCCACTTGGCGAAGAGGGATGACAGGTTCCTCGGCAGGTCGCCCCAGCACTGCTCCGATGGGGTGCCCAGGAAGAGGACACTTGTGCCGGTGTCCCAGAAGAAGTCGCGCAGACTGCCCGCACACCACTGCTCCGCCGCGGTAAGCAGTAGGGAGGGGAGGAGGGACGATGGGGGAGGGGCGGAGGGCTCGTCCATGAGTGGCTGAAGGCCGCATCCCTTGGCAGTGTTGACGAGCCACCTCTCGACACCGTCCCACGGGCCGTTGGCTGCCTCGCCATCACCTCCCTGCAACGCAGATAGCACGCGGACCAGGAAGTCGAAACCCAGGGCCGATGACGCCTCGTGGACGACGGCACAGGTCACGCCGCCGACTTGGATGAAGGGATTCGAGCTGGATCCGTGCATTCGGCCCTCGTAAGCTGTGAGGATGTGCTCGAGAGGGGAGCCTCTGAAGAGCTGGAAGGTGGCTGCGGGAATGGCGACGTGGACGCCACGGGGAGAAGCAGATCCGTCGACAGGTGCCTCCTGCTCCAGGAAGAAGACATTGATACATCCGTCATCGCCAACGTTGGGTCCCTCGATGCTCCCTTCAGCGTATGAGTGACCATCCGGGTGAAGCAGCGGAGGGTTGAAGGGCGAGGCAGATGACGATGCTGCCGCTGCCATCCCACGAACAACGCTGATTCCAGGGCGGGTTCTTAACCTCAAGCTCGCATTCAATCCGGCCGGTTTCGGCGAGGATGCTGCCCGGATGAGCTGCTGCGTGTTTTCCAGTCGTGCGGTACTTTCGTGCTTATCTTCTTGGTCTGCTGCTGGCCGCCGGTGCGGCATGCTCAAACAGCACCAGCGGTGGACGCCGCAGCACAGTGGATATCATGAATGACAGTCAGGCGCTGGCACACCGTTTGGTCCACGTTATTGGTTGTTGGAGGACACACTCTTCGTTTGTCCGTCTTCTCATGCATGTGTGTGTGGGTGTGTGTGTGCTGCAGATGTGTGTGGCGGTATTCGACATGCCTGCCTGTGACCCATTCCGAGACCACGCTGGCCGACCAAAGAAGGGTGTCAAGGCGGACCCAGCGATGATTGACACAGCGATGATTGACATGACCCACACACATGGCCCGCGCGCACAAGGCATCAGCCGCTCAATCCATGTGTCTGTCACTCAATAAGTAATGCATTGTCGGCCGATGATGTCTGTCTGTCTGTCTGTTTGTCCGTCTGTCCGTCTGCGTGGCTGTGCGTGGCTGTGTTCGTCTGCTGCTCCACCGATATGCAACGCTCACTGGCGGCCTGAAGCAGACAGAGGCCCAAACACTCGAGGTATTGGCCGTCCGTAGTGGTGCATGACTGAAGACTCACGTACCGGCACTGCGTGTCATGTGTGTCTGCGCCGCTGCACTCATCGCGCTCAGCTGCTGTGCCATGGTGCTATCCTCCTTGGACCGGTTTGGGTCTGTCACACTCGCAGCGATCGAAGCCGCCCGCATAGACTCAGCTGCCTTCTCCAAGTTGTTGACGGCATTGCTCTCGTCGCCGCTCGTGGAGATCTCAGCGACAGCCGCGTCAGTGTATCCCTTTGCCGACTGCAAGTCGCTCATCTGTGTGTGAACACAACAGGATAGTGCATCATTTCAATCATTGCTTCCTGAATTCACTCACTCACTCACTCACTCACTGCTGCCTTTGCCTCCTCTCACCTCTGCTTCGCTGGCGGTGCTTGGATGAGTGGCCATCGTGACAGCGCCTGCACAGAGGCACAACCATACACAATCATTCATTCGTTGCGTGCTTTGTTTGATGCGTGAGCACCTCTGCGTCGAGCAGCATTGGCGTTTGACGCCAGGAGGGCAGCGAGAAGCAGCAGGGAGACCATCAACGGCATCTCGTGGAGAATCGATGAGCTTTTCAGCTTTGTTTCCGTTCGAATGACCACCTGAGCACGTACAGAGCACACATGGATGTGTACAGGTGGTGTGTACACGAACCTGTAACCACAGAAGGCAATGAGCTCGTGTGTGCGTGATAGTCCTGACTGTGAGTGTGGTGTGCTTACTGGGTGTGTGTAGTGAGTGGCGTGTCCTGAATGTGTGTGTCCATCCATCTGACTGACTGCATAGATTCATTCAAATGATAATGCATACGGGTGATGTGACATTCATTTGAGTGCATCCAAATATCAATCGGTCCGCCTTAGACACCCCCTCCACTCAGACACACACTCCCACCACCGAAGTGCTAGTTAATTCAGACCTCTGCTTCCTCATCCGGCCCATCACTTGAGTGTCATTCATGGCTCCTCCCTCTCCCTGCCCCTCCCCGTCCTCCTCTCTCTGTCTTTGTCTTTGTCCATCCGGTTGATCATCTCACATCGGTCACCACCATCGAGCAGCAGTCACGTGGAGGGACACACAGTCAGGACACACCATACTCTAGCACCATTCCTCTGTTGATGACGTCGTTCTCGAGGCTGAAGTGCTGCAGCACGGCACCCCAGCGGGGCATCGATATGGGGTAGCGGTCGTCGAGCGGCTGAGACCGATCGGCATTCTCATGTCGCTCGGTCGTCGACAGGTCGATGACACCCAAACCAGCACACACAGACCGGCCGACGAACAGTTGGGCAGCGATGGTCTCGTTCGGCCGGAAGCCGCTCACAGTCACAAAACGATAGTCGATTGGGTGGGCATAATTCAGGTTGCCGTTGTCGAAGCGGTAGTCCACAGCGATCCCCTGCTGCTCGCTGATGGGCTCAGTCAGCAGACAGCGATAGCGGGGATCATTGTCGTTGATGCATGCAGTCAGCACCCACCTATGGCCCACCCCCGCCTCACGGTGCCACAGCGTGAGCAGCATGCTCAGCAGGAGTGAGGAGAATGAGCGGTAGAGGTAGTCGGCCTGGCGCATCACGGGATCGGTCGTCTGGTAGCCGCTGCGATAGGGATTGCCGGCCGGCAGGTCACTCAACGCCACCACACGGAGCGACTGATTGTCGATCCGATAGACACCGTTGCCGGCTTGCTGCAGCGCCAGGCTCTGTCCGTGGTAGGTGAGCAAGTGGCCGAACAGCCGATAGATGGCCATGGCGAGCGGCAGCTGGTGGAAAGATGTTGGGGAGGGCAGCGCATCAGCCGACAGCCGCAGGGGCAGAGGGGCATTGGGTGTGAGCCGATAGATGGCGGCCAGCCGAATGAACCGCCCCATCGCCCGCCACTCGGCGCCACTGCCCTGCTCCAGCAGATGCACCACCTTCAAGCCGTCCTCCAGACCACCGACGTCGAAGACCAGGACATCTTCGAGCCCCAGACGACCGATGGCCTCCTGTATGCGCACCTCGACGAGTGTGAGCGCGGCGCTGGCCTTGGCCTGCGGCAATCTGTCGATGCATTGACGAAGCATGGCGCGTCTGTCGGAGTGCGGTGACATGGCCATGTCTGCCGCCCTGGTGATGGCAAGGTCGGGCAGAGAGGGGACTGCCGCAGGGGCGGCGGGGGGCTGGGGAGTGTTGGGGGGCATCGGATGCGACGACGCCATCGGTGAGTGAGTGAGAGATCTGAATGAATCAAAAGAGGAAGGACACACCAACGAGTGAATGGCAATCAGTCAGTCAGACGACAGCCAGGGGAGGGCAAGATGCTCTGCTCACCTCAGACAGACACTGTCACAGCAGAGAGGCGGGGGGAGTGAGCCGTGGTGAAGGAGTGACTCTGCAGACGCACAGCACAACCGCATGCAGCACCCGCCAGACTGACTGACCCGCCGCTCTGCCTCACCGATGTCAGTCGATGCGATGACGAGTGAGCGTCATCCATTGCTCCGTCCTGACCATACGTGCAACAGACTGACAGACAGAGACCGGTCTGCACAGCAGACCGTGGGAGATTCATATGTCGTATCTCCCTCACCCGATGCAGCATTCACATCCCATTCATGACGATTCATATGTTCTTCTTTCCATTCTTCTTTCCACATTCGTCTTCTTTCCTTTCCCCTTCTCTTTCCACCACCCTCAATGCTCCAGCTCGCATAGCTCGCAACCGCTCCTCGCAGTCGGAATGCCTCTCTCGTGACGGCCCATTGATCTTTTTTCTCCATCGATGGGTAACGAGACGAGTCAGTCGGCGAAGCGCGTCATCACTTACAACAACGGCGACAGGTACCACGGCGAGAGCATCCAGAGGCTCAGACACGGATACGGCATCTACCAGTACCGGATAGGAGACCGCTACGAAGGGTAGGCACATACGGCCCCTCACAGTGGCAGATCTGACAACCGCGCATCTCTCATCCTGTTTTCTCTCAGGGAGTGGTTTCGTGACCGCAAGCACGGGTACGGCACCTTCTTCCTTGCCAACGGCGACGTCTACTCGGGCCAGTGGAATGAGGACCGCCGCCACGGTCGGGGCATCAGCATCCACGCCAACTGGGACAGATACGAAGGCGAGTACCGGAATGACCTGCGCTGCGGATGGGGCATGCTCGCCGAGCAGTCGGGCACCTTCTACGGCCAGTTCCGTGACAACGTCAAGCACGGACACGGCGTCCACCTCTCGGCAGCTGGCGACGTGTTCGGCGAGACGTGGCACTCGGGAGAGAGGAAGTCGCGCACACCGCTAGAGCAGATGGTGCCCTTCCCTCCTCTCCCGTCATCCGCCCACGCGGCCAAGGCCAAGGGAGCCGCAATCTCAGGCACAGCGCCGTGCTCGCAGTCGTCAGGGCGGCTGAGTCCCTCTCAGCCCCAGAGCCAGTCAGCCGCGGCCACACTCCCGTCATCCACGCTCAGGCGAGTCACGCCATCCGCGTCGTCATCGCGCCACCAGAATGATGCGGACGCCTCTCCCAGCGAGACGGTTGGCCAGCCACTGAAGCCGTCCGCTCACGACCAACTAGCAGAGGGAGAGAGGGAGGGCGAGGGGGGCGTGTCTGAGGCGTCGCCCGATGAGAGGAATGGAGTGGATGGTTCGACCGGCGAGGAGCAGTCGGAGAGCGCTCCGAGCCCACCTATGGATGCCCGCGACACAGGCGCTCAGCCTGTTCCCCGGGAGCAGCAGGAGCGGGAGCATGCGTCTGTGGCGTCGGTTGTGTCGACCACCGCATCGTCACACACACAGCCGCACTCGTCAAGTGAGGAAGCACTGACGTCAAATAAAACCGTTGTGTGTATGGTCAATACGTGGGTTCTCCGTGGTGTGTGTGTGTGTATCTTTTTCGTGTCAGTTGTGTCGTGGACGGTTGGTGAGGTGTGTCGTTGGCTGAGCCTCCTCGGCCTCGGGCACCTCACATCGCGATTCATCGAACACCACATCACAGGACAGGGTCAGCTGCCAACCCCATCGCATCGACGCACGCAACCATGTGCTGGATGTTTCGCTCTCTGTCTGTTTGTGGGGTTCATCAGAGTTGTTTGATCTGACGGACAGCGAGTTGATCGAGGAGCTGGGCATCGACAAGCTCGCGCACCGACAGGTCGGTCGGTCAGACGTGCACACAGGAGAGGAGGGATCAGCGTGTCATCTCTCCTGTCGCTACCTGCTGCATCAGATCCTACTGCAAGCGTCGCAAAACCTCATGCGCTACGAAGTCAAGCGACAAGCCAAGAAAATCGCCGTAAGCTGCACACGCACACGGCAGCGCTTCGTCCATAGGCATACACACCTTATCTCTTTGTGCTGGTGTGTGGGTCAGTGGACGGACATCATAGAGGACCGCGTTCTCCGGCCCTACATCATACCACATGAGCAGCTCAAGAGACTCAAAATGATAGGAGAAGGAGGTACGCCAGCCACACAGCACTCCCCACAGAGTTGGAGAAATGGTGTGTCTGTCTGTTTGTCAGGCTTCGGTCGTGTGTATTTGGGTGAGTGGGCGGGGAATGAGGTGGCGCTGAAGGAGTTCCGGCGCACCGGCATCGAGGAGGCCCGGGTGCTGCGTGAGTTCGCCACTGAAGTTTCCACCCTCGCCCAGCTGCGCCACCCCAACATCGCCCTGTTTATGGGCATCTGCGTCGAGGCCAAGTACCAGGTAGGTACCCCCAGCTGCTCACGAAGGAGTCACTCGGGTTGGTGGATGTGTCTGGCATGACGCTGTCTGTCGTGTCAGTGCATAGTGAGTGAGTACGTTGGCAACGGTTCGCTGTTCGATCTGCTGCATCGCCGCCACCAGAAGCTCCAGCAGCTCTCGCTGCTACAGATATGCCAAGTGGGCGGGGCAAGGCAACCAGATCAGATCGTGCACACCTGACCTACATCAATATCATGTCTGTCTATTTTGTGTGTGTGTGGTATGTGGTGTGCAGGGCATTTGCTCGGCCATGGCGTATCTGCACGGCCTCGGCATCATACACTGCGAGTAAGCGGCCCAGTCCGGACACAACAACGATAGATAGATGACTCTCGGTGTAATGTACATATGTGTGTGTGTCTGACACGTGTCTGTCTGCAGCCTGAAGAGCTCCAACATACTGTTGGACTATTCACTAAATCCCAAGCTCTGCGATTTCGGCCTCGCACTCAACCTGCTCAGGCAACGGGTAGGCACTCACACAAAGACACGAATATGAAAGCTCCCTCGGCTGTATCGTGGCTGTGTGCGCACGTGCAGTCGTCGAAGCACCGTGGCCGTGTAGGGACGCCGCACTGGATGGCACCCGAGGTGCTCCGTGGGGCGGAGTGCACACCAGCTGCCGATGTCTACTCATTTGGAATTCTCCTATGGTATTCTAATCCAATTCACGAGTCCTTCTCTGCTGCACATGCCTGACTGACATCTGCGGGTGTGTGTGTGTGTCGGTGTAGGGAGATGCTTGGCGTCAAGATTCCCTACGTGGCTCTGTCAGTGCCGCAGATCGTTGCTGCGGTGGGCTGGGGCAAGAAGACACCCGGCTCCCTACCAGACGCACCAAGTAAATGCACACACTGCACTCCACTGCACTCCACTGCACTGGGGGCGGAGCGCCCTGCGAATGAATGAATGTATGTGTGTGCTGTGCGCCTGTGTGTGTGTCCACCAGGGCGTCTGTCGATCATCATGCGGGCCTGCATGAATGACGACCCATCGAAGCGGCCCGACTTCAAGAAACTCCTGAACGTAAGACACACCGACACACCAAAACAGACAGACAGACAGACAGACCTATAGCGAAGACAACCACGACGGTCGGGCATGTTGAGTGCCTATCATTCCACCCTCTTCATTTTGTTTCACTGCAGGTGTTCGGCGACATGCTGGAGGAGTGCTGTGACCGTCGGTGCAGCGTCGACCAAGCTTTCCTGGATGGCTACGGCAACCTAGAGCACCACCTCAGCGGCTCCCATGCGCTCTCCCTCCGCTCTGCCAGCGCCATGGCCGCCGCGGCCAACCGCTCCTCCCTATCTGGTGCGAGCACATCCCTCATGCACGTGCCTGTCCACTGAGCGGCCCGACCCACGGCAGACCAGACAGACAGGCAGTGAGTGAGTCCTTACTCTAGGCTGTCTGTGTCTGCCCGCCTGTCTGTGCGCTGCATGCGACTGACTGACATAGAGAGGAGAGAGAGGGCAGGAGAGATCTCTGCATGGCATGGCAGAGTCACTGAGTCACTGTCCTGTCCTCTTGCTGCTGCTGTGGGTTTGGTTTTCAGTTGCCTGATGCGCGGCTTTCACAAGAACCCTCTGTCTACCTGCCCATACTGACCTCCACAAGTATCCAGAGCCACGGGGCGATGTGGCCGAATAGGTCGTTTCGCGACGGAGAGAGGAGGGATGTTCATTGGAGGGATCAGCAGCTGACATACGGCTGCGCATCGTGTCGGTCGTATTTTGACGTGCCGAGAGAGATCGATTTTCGTGACACCTATCTATCTCGCGACTGCAGTACCGCCTTGTCTGTGTGTCGGTCGGTCTGTCTGTCTATCGGGTGTGCTCTCTCTCTACTTGATGATCGATCCAGTCGACCAAGTTGCTGCCTGCTTGCTGCCCGTATATCCCCAGCTGCATTCATTCATTAATATTTCTCTACATGGTCCCTTCTGCATTGCATACCGCCTGTGTGCATACTTACGTATTTTCCATCCATCCGCACGGCACCTTCCCTGCAGTGCATAGGTCGTTCCGTGACAGAGCGCAAAATTGCCAACCAGCCAGCCAAAGAGATGAGTCGTGATTTTCGGTCGGTTCCGTTCTGTTGACTGACGCGACGCGACTGGCCGGCAGTTTGTCGGGCTGGTGCATCCGTATGTGTATGTATGACTCCATCCACCTACGACTGCATGTGCTGTGCGTGTGTGGCGACCTGCCTGCCTCTTTGACTCTTCCTTCCTCCATCCATCCGTTCACACGTTCAACGCGTTTATCAGCCGCCCTTAATGAAAAAACCCCACCCAGCCTGCACTTCCCACCCCACCCGTACGTGATGTGTCCATCGACTTGACTTCTCTCTCAAGAGTCTGTCTGTACATTCACCGTCACACGATGCGAGGCGATGCAGCCCTCCACATGCACACTCCCTCACTCGCCATGCAGCTAAATGATGGATGCCCCACCCATCATTCACCGTCTACGACACTCCGACCCCCTTTGTCGGGCAGCAGAGCTAATCCAAGGCATTTATAGGTACAATAGGTCGCCTCACGTCGCCTCGCCCATCAGTCACGTCACGTCTCCGCCTACTCCTCCTCCATCGCATCATCCCCGCGCACCTCAGAGGCCACCCACATCGGATGTGCGACGCCATGCACCGCAGCCAGGGCCTCCGTTGTCGCCCTCACGCCACTGTGCACGGCCCCGTGGACACACTGGTTGCCCGACACACTGATGTCAAAGACAGACACATCGGAAGGAAAAGGCGGATATATGACTCGGCGAGGCCTCAACAACACATATATGGCGCCGATCTCATCTGCCCTCCTCACTCATCTCACCTGGTGGCCTCGCCCGCGAAGAAGACGGCAGGTCGCGTGTCGACCCCGTTCTTGGAGTCGGGCTCCGGGTGAGCCGTGGCGAGCTCCTCAATGTGCTCGAGGCTGCCCCCCGGCCGATAGTAGCTGTAGGACCCCAGCGAGAAGACGTCCGTGTCCCACTGAGTCACCTCGACGTCGACCAGCAGCGACCGCAGCGACGAGACGGACAGCCGGGTGTCGTTGGTTGCCATTGTGCTGAGGACCTCGAGGGCCTTGGTGACCGTCTGCTCTCTGTTGACGTTGAAGTGACCGAAGAGATGACCTACCTGAATGAACAGGGAGAGCGAAGCATAGCACACAGAGACGAAGGTCACGACAGCCTCGTGTGTGTGTGTGTGTGTGTGTTGCGTGTGCGCTGCGCACCAGTGTATTAGTCGCCTTGGTGGGGTCGAATGCGTGGAGGTTCATGAACTGCACGGACTCGTCAGGTGTGTTGAGGAACTGGGCGGTCTCGTCCCAGAAGCACTCCTTGAAGCGCAGTATCACCTTGTTGTGTCCCCCGCCGCCCAGCCGCCCACACGCCTCCCTCTTGGCCTCGCTGAGTGGTGGGTCGAAGACGATACGCGAACGGGACGTGTTGCTGGGGTTGAGCACGCCCACGGGCACCGTGACGACCGCCTTGAGCGCACTATACACCTCCCCTGCCTCGGTCGTCACCTCCACGTGGTGGGACCCCTCGACGATGCACACACGATTGACGGCAGTGTTGAGGGAGATGTTGTCCTGAAGATCGGCCGACTGGACGAGTAAGTCGGGCAGCCAGCTGTAGCCCCGCGTGTTCAGACGGTCACCGATGGTCAGCTGACATGATACACACACAGACAGACATGGTGGGTGGATTAGTGGCTGTCTGGCACATCGGATCAACTTCTCACCTTGTGATCGAGATTGGAGTTCTTGAAGGGGTCGTAACTGCCTGCCTTGGCCCGCTTCTCCCTCCGCTTCTTCTCCCTGACCCGCCAGCCACTGCCGCTTGTCTTTCGCCTCTTGCTACTGGGGGTGACCGCCTCGCTGTCCCCGTCGTCCTGCCCGCCATCGCCGTCGTCCTCGCCCTCCCCACGCTCCCCTGTGTCGCCTCTCAGACGCGCAATATCGTCGCCCGTCAGCTTGAAGAGATCAAGCGTCGAGTAAGCCTCCAGGCCCTCCACGTCCATGCCCATGAAACCGTCAGACGACGATGACGACGCTGCCGAACCGCCAGCCTGGCCGACAGGTGCGTGGTGCTGGCCGTCGTAGAGCGAGAGGGGTGGTGTGGGGATGGGCAGGAAGCCCTGGCCCCTCTGGTAGCTTTTCATGTAGGCCGTGTCGGCCGACACACGCACCTTGAGGCGCCCCTCGTCCACCAGCCGATGGGGCCCATCCGGCAACCGCAGCTCACCCAGCTGGGCCAGCGAGGGCAGCAGCGCCAGGTCGGCCAAACTGCAGTTGTAGCCAAACATGCGCTGAGCGATCTTGCTGCCCATCTGCCGAATCAGCGCCAGCTCCCTCTCGTCCCTCTCCGCCTGATCGGCCGCCAGTGATGCCGCCTGCTCACGGGCGCGGCTGGTCTTGCGCCGGTTGCGCTTCCTCTCGTCGGCCCGTCGCTGCTCCTCGCGCGCCTGTGCCTCGTCGTTGAGGGCGTGGTTGAGGGCAATGCCAAACCAGTCTTGGAAGGAGCTGCTGCCGGACGGTGGGAATGGGGGAAGGGCCGCCATGTGGGCGGGGAAGGGGCCTGGCGATGTGGTGGCTTGGTCCTCCTTGTGCTTCTGGGCCACCATGTGTGCCATCGCCCGCTCTATCAACAGAAGCGCCCTGAAACATCATTATTGGAAAGGGCGTCCACGCATGGACGGTCGGCCGTGGATGCATAGATCAGCTAATGAGTGTGGGTTACTTGATGATGACGGCCTGTGGAATCTGCCGTCCTTGCTCGTCATACCAGTTCGCAAACTCGGTCGGCTCCCACTTGCCGCCTGCATGACATAGACAGACAGGGAGGGGAAACAGATGGTGTAGTTACTGCTGGTGGTGGTGGTGGTTGGTGGTGGTGAAACGACGAACAACAGCTGCGTCACTGTGTCGCTCACCCATCACAGCAGAAGTTTCGATGCCGAGTGCCGCCGCCAAATCCCAGGGATAGTGCGGATCTCCTGGTGCAACGTGCAGCCAGTTGGCGCCAAGATCCACCTGCAGTGCACCACACAGACGGACAGAGACAGATGGGTGGGTGTCCTGTATGCACATGAGGCGGGCGGAGAAAAGGGAGTCGGAAAGCCTGTTGCGTTGCGGTTCACTCACCTTGGTCTCAGGCAGGCTGTCTTTGGCAGGGAGTGTCTTGGTGTGGATGCGGCCGCCAACCCTGAAGAAAGAACACGACACAACACAACAAGGAAGGAAGGAAGGCACATACATACAAACATACAGACATGCGAACATCTATCAACTGGACGGACAAGTAAGTCGTCAATCGTTGCTTCGTTTCTCACCTGTCCCTTCCCTCCAAGACGATGACCCGATACCCCCGCCTCTTGAGCATAGCTGCAGCCGTCAGACCAGCAACTCCAGCACCCACAACGATAAAGTGTGCGTCGACACCGCCATCCCCACCACCACCCCGCACCAGCGGCGGCACATCGATGCCCTGCCTATCCAAGCCGGCCATGAAGTTAAGGACGTCGTCATTCTGGCACGACATGGGCTCGCGCGGCGGGCTACCTTGCCGCTTGCCGGACGGCTTGCATGCTGCGGGGGCTGGAGGCGATCGCCCTCTCTTCCGTGATGGCAGCAGCTCACCATCACCATCCTCATCGCCATGCCCACCTCTGCCGCCCCTCTCGCCCGGGTCACTGTCGCCCCCGCTCGAGTGATGCTTGGTGGGCGGCGTCTTGTGGCAGCCACGCTGAGGCCTTGACACTGCTATCCATCCCGTCGCATACGCCGGGTCGTCATATGGGAGATCCTCCTGCTGCTCCGTCTGCTCCCGGTCGGTCGTCTCCCTCATATTGACTGCACCAGGGGCGTCTTCGGGCCGAAACTGAGGAACAGGGGGAGAGATCTCCGGCGTGGCCAGTGCCGTCGTCATGGATGCCACCACTGCTGCCTCGTCTGCCGCGCCTTCGTCTTCTCTTGGCCGCCTGGTCGGACGGTCGGAGGGCGGACAGGTGCAGGGGGCCCTGTGGGACTGCTGACACGGGGAGGGCTGATGGTTGCTCGTGTTAGCGACGGGCGCGGCGGCTGAGCCCGATGAATTGATCAGATCATAGGACGAAGACGTGGTGATGGCAGCTGGTGGTTGATGAGTCGGCTCGACTGTCCTGTCTGCGGCCGCCTCCCCAGTGGCCTCCTGTGCCGCTTGTTCTGATGAAATGGGAGGGACGTCCATCAGAGCAGGTCGTCCGTGCGGTCGTGTAGATAGCAGCCGGCAGTTTCGGCGTGTATTCCGTCTGAGTGATGCTATGATGTTACGAATGTTCTGCGGACGTCAAAGACTCAAGAACCGCTGCGAGCTTAGTTGTGGCGAGCTTGGGGGAGAGAGGAAAAGCCTGTTTTTCCTCTTCTCGCTTGAGATCAAGGCTCCGCAGCTGAAGATCTCTCTGCTGAGAGCGTTTGATTCATCGGTACCTTCCTTGACCTACTCCAAGATGTTGGAGAGCAAGTATCTGGCAGACCTGAAGTCCAAGAACGAGTCGGTTCGCGCCAAGGCCGCCAAGAACCTGCGGATCCATGTGGAGGCTGAGGCCAAGGAGATGTCCGGCGGCACCTTCACCAAGTTCATGGCCGACCTCAACAAGCGCATCTACGACCTCGTGAGCAGCCCGCACCAGGAGGACAAGATCGGCGGCATCATGGCCATCGACGAGCTCATCGATGTTCAGTGCGACGAGAATGAGACCAAAATCATCCGCTTCTCCAACTACCTCCGCATGATCTTCCAGCAGTGCTCCAGCGGACCTCTCGAGCACTCCATCTTGCCCAGGGCCACACGCGCACTCGGCCACCTGGCACGAGCCGGCGGCACCATGACGGCAGACTTCGTAGAGTTTGAGCTGCGCAGGTCCCTCGAGTGTCTGCAGAGTGGTGGGGGGAGCGACCCCAGGTCGGAGTACCACCGCTATGCCGCCGTGCTGATCCTCAAGGAGCTGGCGCTCAATGCACCCGTGCTCTTTGGGCCGCATGTTAACGCCTTCTTCGACCACATATGGGTAGGTATACGTTCACGGTGCGTTAATGCATTTAACATGACAGGCAGCAATGGCCCATTGTTTGTGTGTCGGCTGGCTGTCATGTAATGCAGGTGGCTATCCAGCACGAGCCCAAGACGGTCATCCGTGAGGCTGGTGTGGAGGCGCTGCGGGCGGTCCTGCAGCTGCTGGCACAGCGGGACCAGAACCAGCCAGCAGTGACCAATGGAACGACCCCCACACCGCAGGTGTCGGCAGCGGCAGCTGCAGGGCCTGGGTCGCTTGACGGCAAGGGTGGAGGGGCTGCTGTGGCTGCCACAGCAGGTCAGGCGCGGCAGCGGTCCCGCTATCGCACACACATCTCGAGAACCATATGGGAGAAGGTCAGTCAACTCAGGGGAAATAAGGCCGATAGATAGATAGCACAATCCATCACGCTGGCTGCAATGAGACAGACTCCCATTTCCCGTTGTTTATTTCATTCAGACCCAGCAGGGTCTCCGTTCATCCGACGCGCTGGCTCTCCACGGCTCCCTCCTGGCCGTCGGGGAGCTGCTGACTCACGACCTCGCCCGCCCCGAGCAGGCCCCCACCCCGACCGACGCCACATCAGATCAGCTCGTGACGTCCCCCCGCTTCGCAGAGATATGTGACCTGGTCTTCAAGTTCAAGAGCAACCGACACCGGCTGGTGCAGCGCACCGTCCTGCAGCTGCTGCCGACCCTCGCCAAGTTTGACCCCGCCTCCTTCGTGGCCCTCAACTACCTCGACAAGGCCGTCGCGCACCTCCTGCAGACTATCAGGAGTGGGGGCACCGACCGGGAGCTGGCTTTTGAGGCGCTGGGTGACCTGATCCTTGCCGTCAAGGAGGCCATTCTGCCGTATGTGGATCGGATATTGACTGTGGTCCATGACGCTTTATCGCATCGGTTGGGGGGCGGGGGGATGGCGGCGTCGCTGGGGCTGTCGATGGGAGGGGGGTCGAGGCGGCGGCAGGAGGCACAGACGCAGGAGGCCCTCATCTGCATATCTAAGCTGGCCAAGGCCGTGGGCCCTCAGCTGGCGCCGCAGATCGAGCAGCTCGTCGACAAAATGTTTGTCGGTAGGGAACACGAAGCAACGCTACGCTGCCATCGTCTCATCTGGACGTCTGCCATGCCGTCGATCCTTCACGTTTCCTCTTGTTGTATGTCGTGTCATGTCATTTATGTGTGCCACACAGGTGGTCTGTCCCCCACCTTGCTGGAGGCCCTGAACCAGCTGTGCAAGACCATCCCCTCCCTCCTGCCCGTCATGCAGAACCGACTCCTGCACTCCATCTCCCTCGTACTCGCCGACGAGTCCGTCACCAACCTCGACAGCGGCGACACCGCCACCCACCCATCGCAGGCCACGAGTGCACCCTCAGGTGCGTCCGCAGCAGCAGAGGGCGGCGCTGCTGGGGCTGGGTCAGGGGCTGGCGGAGCGCCATACAGGAGCGAGGAACACGCGCGGCTGGTGGTGCTGGCACTGCACGCCTTGGGTGAGGAGTGGGGAGGGGAACAGGTGTCTGTCATTGTTGGTGTGTGTCCTGGCCTGGGGTGGGGTGTGTGTGTTGTCTGTCAGGTCAGTTTGGCACGCTGACGTACAACTTGCAGACCAACTCGTTTGTGTGTGAGTGCGTTCTGCGGTACCTCGACCACCCCATGCCAGCCGTCCGCAAGGAGGCAGCACTCACCGCCATACAGCTGCTGCTTCCCAAACCGTTCAGCGTCCCAACTGTCGTCATCCAGCCCACAGCAGACGCCGCCACGCAGCCCTCATCCACCCAAGACGGCACACAAACCAGTGCGGCTGGTGCTGGCGGTGGTGGCACACGGGCATCTGGTGCATCCGGGCGGCCCACCCAGGCCCCGAATGAGGGCAGCACAATACTGGCTGGGGGGTTCCTGCAACACGTCGTCCTCTGCAGGTGGGCCCACACACACATGTTATACGGAGAGAACGCACCTTTCCTTTCCTTTGTGTGTGTTCTGTCAGGCCGCATCAGTTGCTGGCGATATCTCGGGTGATTCGTCGGCTGCTGACGTTCGCCGTGGCAGACCCTGAGGCGTCAATCCGCCATGCGGTGCTGGAGGGCTTTGACTTCAGGTTCGACCCCTTCCTGTGCGAACCATCATGCCTCGCCGCGCTCAACCAGAGCCTCCATGACGAGTCACTCCAGGTGGGTGGATACACACTCATGGCACACGTGTGTGGCTATGCCTGACAGGCTGACTCAAATGGTATATGAATGTGTGTGTCCCCTGTGCACCAGGTGCGCAAGACGGCGGTGCGTCTGATGGGCCGTTTGTGTCTGCACAACCCGGCGTATGTGCTGCCGGCCCTGCGCAAGATCCTAATACAGCTGCTCACGGACCTCGAATTCGCGCCTGACGCGCGGCACAGAGACGAAGCCGCAGAGCTGCTCGGTCAGTGAAACTGTCTGCCTGCAGCGGACACACACACACATGCGTCCGTGTCGATGGTCTGTTTGCAGGCGATTTGATTCTGGAGGCGCAGCAGCTGATGGAGCCCTACGCCACGTCGGTGATCCGGCACCTGATCACGAAGCTCAAGGAGACCCAGTCCACCCAGATCGACCCCGCCAGCCCCCCTGGCCACCCCATACCCCCCTCCCTCACACCCTCTCCCTCCCCGCCCTCTCTCTCTTCATCTCCGCCCGTCCCCTCGCCCGCCCCCAGCAGTAGCACACTCATTCACCAACGCGCAGCGTTCGGCTACGTGTCGTCACACGCGAGGTCCGTGAGCATGGGGCTGCCCCAGCCACCCCCGCCAACGCCCAGCTTCTACACGCACCTGTTCACGGCCGTGGGGTATTTGTCTGAGGTGGGGGGCACTGAGATCCGTCATCTCATGGACGACCTGCTGCCGATCCTGGTGGAGGCGCTGCAGGACACGGGCACGACGGCGCCGAGCGGCATCAAGCGAGAGGTGGCCTTCAGGACACTCTCACAGATCGTCAGAAACACTGGGTGAGTCAGTGAGTGGCTTTCGTTCTTTCGGCACCCCTCAATCATTCCTCGTTGGTTGCGTGTTGCAGTGCGGTGTTGGAGCCTTACCTCAAGTACCCCTCCCTGCTGTCTTACATGATCGGTCTCCTCCGCTCCGACAGCACGTCAGACGTCCACTGGCCATGGCACTGGCCGCTGCGCAAACAAATCATCCGGGCCATCGGCACCCTGGGCGCACTCGACCCCTACCGCTTCCACCAGCTCGAGCGACTCCCACGCACACAACCGCAGCAGACAAAGACCCGCGGTCTGGAAGCCCCCCCTCTCGGGGCAAACGAGGCGGATCACCGGAACCTGCAGTGGGAGAACGTCAAGCTCGCCGGCGAGCGGCACATGAAGCGCCAGCAGGAGGGGGACTTCGAGGTGGTGACCGGGCTAGGCGTGGCGGCGAGTAGGCACGGCATGCCGGTGCTCGGGGGAGGCGGTGGGCGGGCTGCGGGGGGAGAGGACGACAAGGGTGTGGATCTGTTCTCGTCGACGGCCATCCGTGCGCTGCTGCGGATGATGGCCGAGAACAAGAGCAAGGGCAGGGGCAGCGCGAGTCAGCCTGCGTCTGGGCTGCCGGGGTACACCTACTGGGGCGGGGTGGCCTATGGGCAGACGGCGATGGTTGGCGGTGCGGCGGGTGGCGGGGGAGGTGTGCTGTCGAGCCACCAAACGTCCGTCATGACGGCCATGATGTGCATATTCAAGAACCTGGAGCACAAGACTGTCTACTTCCTGCCACAGGTAGGTAGGTGTGTCTCCAAGCCACGAGGGGAGGCAGCACCGCACCATACCTCTCAGTCAATGTTTGCTGCCTTCATTCAGGTGATGCCGGCCTTCCTGGATATCTTGCACAGCAGCGATGGCGAGTCCCAGGAGTCTTTGCTGCTCAACCTGAGTGACCTGATCGCCATTGTGGGCGCCCCCATGGCCAGGTACCTCCCCGCCCTCTTCGACCTCCTCACACAGATCTGCCAGGGACACCTCAAGGCCCACCAGCAGCAGGTCATCATCACTGGAGGAGGGGGCGGCGCACAGCTGGCTCCGGCAAACATCGCTGCGGCACAGTAAGGCCAGGACAGACACACACACAGCAGGGGGGTCTGGTCTGCAGGCGTGTTGTGGCATTGCATTGGTATGGTGTGGTGTGCAGGGTGGTGGGTGGAGTGCTACAGGCTGAGCAGGCGGCCGACAAGACGGAGCGGGAGCGGGGCACGACGGCGCTGCTTCGTGTGCTGGAGGAGATCGCCACACACCTTCCCAACGATTTCGAAACTTACATGGGCCAGCTCATCCCCATTCTACTCAACTTCCTCCAGGTACCCCACACGTGTGTGAAGGTAGGTACCCAAGCATCAGTGTGTGTGTGTGTGTGTGTGTGTGGCCAGAACGACCAGTCGGAGCGTCGCGAGGTGGCCTTCGGCGTGCTGCAGGCGCTGGGTGTCTTCGGCAAAGGCGTTCAGGACTACATCTACCTGGTGGTGCCGGCCCTGACCAAGCTGGCCGAGAACGAGGACGCCCCCCCCTCCCTCCGCATCCACTCGATCTACCTCCTCGGCCACCTCACACACACATGCACTTTCCCACAGTTCTCCGCCAGGATCGGCCACGCCCTCATCCGCATACTCGACGCCACATCCCTCCCCGCCACATCTCTTGCCACCGCCGGCAACCACAAAACAAAGGCCGCCAAGGGCAAGACCGCCACGACGATTACCATCCCCCTACAGCCGCCCTCGATCGCCATGTCGGCTGCTGATGCGGATGCGACTCCCACGCCGTCTCTGTCTGCGGTGGGCTCGTTGACGGGGCCTTCTGAGATGGGCACCACGCCCACGTTGCCGTCTGGCGGGGTGGTGGGAGGCGGCCGGGGCTGGGACGTCGGGGTGGGGTCGGAGGGGGAGGTGCACGAGATGAAGATGGCGGCGCTGCAGACACTGGCCATGCTCTACAGGGCGTTCGGGGCGGACTTCGCGCCGTTTGTGCCACTCGTCAAGTAAGGGGTGGGCAGATGGATGTCTTCTGAGTGTCTGATTATCTATCTCTGTGGGCGTCTGTGTGTGTGAACAGGATGGTGACGCACCGTCACCGGCTCCCGGTGTTTGCCATCTTCGACCCCTTCTCGCCCAACGCTCTGCCCACCCCGCCCCCCACCAACCCCTTCGCCACACGGCGAGGCGTGGCAACTCAGTCGCCAGCCATGCCGCCACACCCAGACCTGCAAAGCAACGCATCCGCCAGCCTCGGACCAAGCGACCCGTTCGGCGCTGCCTCTGCAGACAACAAGGATGCATCGTCCGCACCCCAACCACAGCCAACGAGCCAATCGGTTGGCCACGCGTCGCAGCAAGGCGGTGGGGCGGCACTGATGGGTGGAGCTGGCGGGGGTCAGCAGAGGGGTCGTGGGATGGACGTGGGAGTGGGTCCGCTGCAGGTGCATCAGCAGAGCCTTAAGCAGGCCTGGGAGACCAACAACCGCTCGACGCGGGAGGAGTGGGCCGAGTGGATGCGGCGATTCTCTCTGGAGCTGCTGCGCGAGTCGCCCTCCCCCGCACTGCGCACCTGCTGGAGCCTCTCGCAGGTCTACCAGCCGCTGTCCAAGGAGCTCTTCCCTGTGGCCTTTCTCAGCTGCTGGCTGCACCTATACGACACCATGCAGGACGCACTCGCCAAGGCCCTCGAGCAGGCGCTGCAGTCCCCCAACCTCCCTCCCGACGTGCTGCAGACCATCCTCAACCTAGCTGAGTTCATGGAGCACCAGGGCAGCCCTCTGCCGCTCGACTATGCGCTCTTGGGTGGGCTGGCTGAGAAGAGCCACGCCTACGCCAAGGCGCTGCACTACAAGGAGAGGGAAGCCAAGACGGCGCGTGAGGCGTGTGTGGAGGCGCTGATATCGCTCAACAACCAGCTGGGCCAGCGGGAGGCCGCCACGGGGGTGCTCGTGTATGCGCAGAAGCATCTCAACGTGACGCTCAAGGAGAGCTGGTACGAGAAGCTGCACAGGTGGGAGGACGCCCTCGAGGCCTATGAGATACGGCAGCTGGACGACCGCACCAACCTTGAATGGACACGGTCGAGAATGAGGTACGAAATCGCCCACTCCCCCGCCCATACATACCCCCACCACCCCCACTGTTTGTATGTGTTGTAGGTGTCTTCATGCGCTGGGCGAGTGGGACAGGCTGAGCGAGTTGTCCCGGAAGGTTTGGGACAGCAACCACCCGGGGCTGCGGGACCCGCTGAGGCGCCACGAGGTGGCATACCTCGCTGCGGCGGCCGAATTCAACCTCAGGAAATGGGACAAAATGAACGACTGGGTCGCTGCGCTCGAGGTGGGTGGGTGGGTACCGTTGACACCCGCACTGGCACACACACACATATATATGGGGATTGCTGCGCACCACATGTGTGTGCCCGTGTGTGTGTGTGTGTGTGTGTGTGCAGGCCACCCCGTCTCACACGTATGAGGGTTGTTTCTACAGCGCGTTGCTGGCCATCCACCAGGAGGACTACCGGCTCGCCACCCGACTCATCACCAAGTCCAGGGAGATACTCGACCCCGAGCTCACTGCTCTCGTCGGAGAGAGCTACGAACGGTCCGAATGAGCACACCTAACCCACACGCCCATCGATCCATCGGCATCAGTGTCGTGTGTGGTGTCTTATGCAGGGCGTACGGCGCGTTGGTGAAGGTGCAGCAGCTGACCGAGCTGGAGGAGATCATCGCCTACAAGCAGACGGCAAGCGAGTCGCGGCGTCAGATGATGCGCAAGATGTGGGCAACGCGGCTGCAGGGCTGCCAGCCAAAGGTGGAGGTCTGGCAGGCCATCCTGCAGGTCCGCTCCATGGTGCTGCCCCCCACCGAGGACATACCCATCTGGCTGCGCTTCTGCTCGCTGTGCCGGAAGCAAGAGCAGCTCTCTCTCAGCATCAACATTGTCAAGGAGCTGCTCACGGCGTCAGACACACAGCCGCCCATGACCGACAGCAGGGTGGTGGTGGCTCACCTGAAGAACCTCTATGCAGGCGGCCACAAGGAGACCGCCCAAAGCCAGCTGCGCGACTTCTGCACCTCCTGCAACTGGTACCTCTTCGACCAGCCTCTCGTCCCGCCCCTCCCCACCGACACAGCTTCACTGCACCCCACAAGCGACGCCGCCATCTCTGATCAGCAGCAACAACAACACCACCCCCCAGGCGACTTCCTGCTCCCACTGGGTCTGACCTCGCTCACCAATGTGACATCTGCGAGCGCGCTGAGCGGCTGGGAGGACACACACTCACACCCCCACGTGGCTGAGAGGGTGGGTGTGGGTGTGGAAGGCGATGGTGCTGCTAGTGGTGGTGGCGGTGGCGGTGGTGTGGGTCAGATGCGCGGCAAGGGGATGCGTCGGGTCAACAAGCATTTGTGTCACCTGCTGTCCAAGTGCCACCTCAAGTTGGGGCTTTGGACCAAGGAGGTGCTGGAGGAGAAGAGGGGCGCTGACTGGATCAACGACCAGACGCTGCAAGAGGTGGGTGAGGAGCGAAAGGAATAGTCCCTCACAGGGAGGCGCTAGGCTAGGGGGTCTGTGCATTTGTGTGTCCGTTCGTTCGTTCAGGTGCTGTTATATTTCCGAGCGTCAGTGCGGCTGAGCCCCACCTACTACAAGGCCTGGAATGCATGGGCCAACACCAACTTCCACGTACGAACGACTATCGACATAAGGACATCCGTGCGTCCTGTCTGTCATTGATGGTCGATCCATCAGGTGGTCCAGCTGTTCGATCTCTACAAGTCGCAGCACCCCGCACACGTCCACCCACACGCCTGCCCGCCGCCGCCCATGGTGCGATCTGCCTCCCCCAGCCAGCACCAGCACCAGCACCACCCCTCCCTGCCCGTCTCGCCCGCACACCCACACCACCCCTCTCCCTATATCCACCCCATCTCACACCACCCACTGCTGCCGCACCACGGTGGACACGCCTCAGACCGCGCCATGCCCGACATCCACACACAGCCGCCGTCGCTCTTCGCTGAGGCCAAGGACGGCGGGGAGGGCGACGTGGAGGGCTTCTTGTCTGCGGCTTCGTCGGTGGCGGACCGTGAGCGTGTTGGGCGTGGCGGGATGGATCTGCATCTGCAGTATGTGGTGGAGGCGGTCCGGGGGTTCGTCAAGAGCATCGCATTGGGCACGCGCAAGGCCCGGGGGAAGCTCAACTGCAAGGCCAACCTGCAGGACGTTCTCAGGCTGCTCACACTGTGGTTCAGGGTAAGCCAAAAGAGTGCCTCTGCGCGGGAGTGTGTCTGATCCAATCCATGGTCTCTGTGTGTGCTGTGCTGCTGTGATGTGATTTGTCAGCATGCGGGCCATTCTGCTCTTGAATCGGCGCTGCAGGAGGGTTTCCAGACCACACCTCTGGAAACATGGCTCGAGGTCATCCCACAGATACTCGCCAGGTGCGGGGAGAGTCACGGGAAACACAACAACAGCGGCTGTGAGATGAACGCAGGTATGTTTGTACGATGGATGCACAGGCTGCGATCGTCCAACAAGGCTCTGCAGAAGACCATTCACGCGCTGCTCAAGCGCATCGGCAAGGAGTACCCCCAGGCACTGGTCTTCCCCCTCACCGTCGCATCCAAGTCAGCCATATCAGAGCTCTCCAAGTCGGCAAGACAGCTGCTCCAGGAGATCGAACAACACTTCCCAGTAAGTGCGCCAGACCATCCATCCATCCACCACCCTCCGGTGCACCCCTCCTCTATGCTATGTGTGGCTTTGTGTGCAGGTGTTGGTTCAGCAGTCGTTGATGGTGAGCGAGGAGCTGATCCGCGTGTCAATCCTGTGGCACGAGCAGTGGTACGAGGCGCTGGAGGAGGCCTCCCGCCTCTACTACAGCGAGCGGGACATCGACGGCATGGTCCAGGTCCTCCTGCCGCTCCACAACATGCTCCGGAGGGGCCCTCAGACACTCAGGGAGACGGCCTTCATTCAGGTAGGCACATGCATGCATACACTGCAGCCACACCCACTCGCTGCACCCCCGACACGATGCGCGATGCCTTCCTTCTTCAGGCCTTCGGCCGCGATTTGGAGGAGACCGAGAGCTGGATCAAGAGGTGGAAGCGTCACGTGCCGGCAAATGACGCCAAAGACACCCCCCCGCCCCAGAAGAACGGCCAGCAGGGCGGCACCACCAAGGGCAGTGCAATCGGCAAAGCGGCCTCGGGGCAAGGTGGTGGTGGTGGTGGTGGTCAGGGCCAGCAGCAGCAGCAGCAGGGCAAGGAGAGGGAGAGGGCACCGTCGGGTGGCACCAACAAGGCCGGTGGTGTGTCGAGCCAGCAGCCGCAGAGGGCCGACATCGATCAGGCATGGCAGATCTACTACCGGGTCTTCCAGAAGATTCACAGACAGGTCGGCCGGGTCACACACAGACAGACAGACAGCCCCCCACCCATCACTCCCTCCCAATGTGTGCCGACAGATTCAGTCGCTGACCCACTTAGATCTGCAGTATGTGTCGCCGAATCTGCTGTCGGCCAAGGACCTGCAGCTGGCGGTGCCGGGCACCTACAAGCCCGACGAGCCGCCCGTGCGGATCTTGGCCTTCACGCCGTCCATCCAGGTGGTCAACTCCAAGCAGAAGCCGCGCATACTGCAGATGGAGGGATCCGACGGACTCAAGTACAAGTTCCTCCTCAAGGGCCATGAAGACCTCAAACAGGACGAGCGCGTCATGCAGGTACGTGCCCATAACCCACAGACGCACCCCCCACTCCCTCAACGAGTCAGTCCATCGCTATGCGTGTATGGGCGTGTGTGTGTGTGTGTGTGCAGGTGTTTGGCCTGATCAACGACCTCCTGCTGAGCCACTCGGAGGCCTCCCAGCGTGACCTGGCCATCGCGCGTTATGCGGTGGTGCCGTTGTCGACGAACAGCGGTTTGATAGAGTGGGTGCCGCACTGCGACACGCTGCACTCGCTGATCAAGATGTACCGTGACGCCAACAACATCACCCTCAGCCTCGAGCACAACCTCATGAAGTCCATGTACGCCAAATGCGACGACCTCTGCCTACTGCAAAAGGTGGGTGGGTGACCAACCGGCCACAAGACAATAGCCGCAGCAACCAGCCCCGGAAGTAGCCACAGTAGCCCGTCTGCCTCCGTGTGTGTGTGTGTGTGTGTCGATAGGTTGAGGTGTTTCAGTACGCCCTGGACTGCACGAGCGGCGAGGATTTGGAGAAGATGCTGTGGCTGCAGTCGTCGAGCAGCGAGGTGTGGCTGGCCAGGCGGACTGTCTACTGCCGCTCCCTGGCCGTCATGTCAATGGTCGGATACATACTCGGACTCGGCGACAGACACCCATCCAACCTCATGCTCACCAGGCAAGAGGATTGCGGCCGGCATGGCGGCGAGGGGGTGTGTATGTGTGTGTGTGTGTGTGTGTGATGGTGATGCATTCCTGCAGGTCTTCGGGGCGTGTGGTGCACATAGACTTCGGCGACTGCTTTGAGGTGGCGGCGCTGCGCGAGCGGTTCCCCGAGAAGATCCCCTTCAGGCTCACACGGATGCTCCTCAACGCCCTCGAGATCTCAGGCGTCGAAGGCAACTTCAGGCACACGTGTGAGCTGGTCATGGGCGTGTTGCGGAGCAGCAAGGACACCCTCATGGCCATGCTGGAGGCCTTCGTGGACGACCCCCTGATCACGTGGCGCCTCCTGCCGGCAGCCAAGCTGCAGCTGCAGCCGCACCAGACCACCACCACCGCAAACACCACACCCCAACAGCCCCCTCTCACCCAACAGCAACAGCCCCCCACCACAGCAGACCCCCTTCCATCCACACCGCCGTCATCAGACCAGCCCCCATCGGGCGCCCCTCTGACCGGCACCGACCCAATGGGCGTCCGGTCGGGGGCCTTCCCGAAGCTGCCCACCCACCCTGAGGACAGGGAAGGCGAGCAGGCCGCCATGCGAGAGGAGGGAGGAGACGACGGAGGGGGCGGGGGAGGGGGTGGGGGTGAGGGGGCCGTCGGGCAGAATGGGCGGCAGAGATCAGCGGCTGTTGTTGAGCAGCATCCGAGGGAGCCTGTGACCACCCGAACTACAGCTGCTGGGCTGCCCCCTGGGGGCGACCTGAGGCACGGTGGGTTCCCCCAGGGCCGCGTGTCGATGGCTGGGGACATGGAGAAGGACCCCCACATGGTGTCGACGCACATCAAGCAGAGCCGGCAGCGGGAGCTCAAGCAGTACCTGGGGCCGGAGGGCATGCGCGCCAACCCCGAGATGCTCTCCACCTATGCAAGGTCCGTCATACGCAGAGTCGACAGCAAACTCAGCGGCACCGACTTCGGGTACGGACGGATGGACTGACTCACTCCTACACACGGGGAGGATGGGCGACCATATGGTTGTGATGTGTTCGTGTGTTTGTGGGTGTGTGTGCAGGTCTGAGCATGACATCCCTGGTCAGGTAGAGCGTTTGATCCAGGAGGCCACGTCACACGAGAACCTATGCCAGTGCTACCTGGGGTGGTGCCCCTTCTGGTAGCTCATCTAGATGGATAGATAGACCACTGCCAAGAGCCGCGTGTTGCGGGGGTGAGCTTGTTGTGTGTGTGTGTGTGTGTGTGTTTGTACAGTATGAGTGCCGTGCCGTGCCGTGCCGTGCGGTGCCGTGATATTCATTCCGTAGGCTTTTTTCGTCCACCCACATTGCATACAAGTCGTGAGGGCGATGCGATGCGATGTGGTTTTGCATCTCCTACGTATGTATGTCTTGTGTACACACACCCTCACCCACCTCACTCTGTTCGTGGTGTAGACAAATGGGCGATGGAGGCGATGGATGGATGTGGCCTCCCTCTTGCCTTGAGACGTCTCTGTCTGTGTGTGTAGAGTAGAGTACAAGCGTATACATTTGTCTGTCCTCCTGATCCCATCCATCCCCACCCACCCACCACTCAAACCAAACACGACTGACTCATTCATACACGCCCGCAGAGTAAACAGACACCGACAAAACGATCGATCGCTGCCGGCTTCATTCAAACAAAACAGACAGACGGCTTTCTGTGCCCACAGACCGACCGACATATACACACATATGCACAGTCGCCCAGCCACCCGCCCCGCCCCACCCCACCCCCAGCCACCCCCCCAGGCAGCAAGCAGTTGAAAGCAACCCTCCAGAATACAGACAAGACCCTTTGGACAACCGTGTAGCAGCAACATGCAGCAAAGAATGGAACGATTGGCAAGCAAAGCAAGACGCGCAGCGCACCCGGCGTGTTGGTCCTTCCTCCCTCCGTCCCTCCCTCCCTCCTCACTCAACAAAATGAACGAATGCACGTGTGGCCAGCCAGCAGGGCCTCTCTCCTCATGTGAAGGCGGTGATGACCTCGGTGGCCGACCCCCTGATGAGCACCACACGCTTCAAATCAGCACACAACACCTGACGAACGCAAAAGATGGAATGAACAACAGAACAGGCAGCTCAGGTGGCAGTCAGTGCCTCAGTATGTATGTATGTCTGTGTGTGTGTGTCGGTCCGCACCTCGACAAACTGCATGTATCCGAACGCACTGTGGTCTTGCGGCACGTCAGGCAGGTTTGTCACCACCAGATCCGCACTCAACGAACGCTGTTTGGCACACATGACATCCACGCGTGCGTTCCTTTGTGTCCGCATTCATTCGTCCATCCCATCTATAGGTACCGATCTGAATGCGGCGTTGAGGGCCTTGGCGGCGTCCAGCACCGCCTCGTGCGCCTGGCTCACGCTCTGCACACACACACACACACACACAAAATCCTCACGCCCTTCGGTCGGGTGTCAGTCAGGGTGTCCCTCACTCACCTCGAGTTCTTCCCGCTTCATGGCAAAAGAGACCGGGAAGAACTGAGGCCCCCGCCCCTCCTCGATGAGCGGGTCGCTCAGCCGCCGCGGGCTCTTCTGGCCGCTGCCGCCACTCTTGGGGCTGCTGTTGTCGAGCGTGGCGTGTTTGGGGGTCTGGCTGCTCCCCACATTGCCCCCCGACGCACCCCGCCTGATCTGTGGCTGCGGCTGCTGCTGTGGCTGTGGCTTGGCGGGTATGGCGGCCCTCTTGGGTGCGGGTGAGGGTGGCGATGTGACGGGGAATAGTGGGGTGGAGTCTGAGTGGGGGACGGTGTCGATGTCCTTGAGACGCTCCATCTGAAGCTTGTGGGTCAGCAGGTCCGTCCCTGTTGGCCGCATGGATAGCAGGACAGAGAGGGAAAGATGCGCTTTTCGTTTGATGAAACGAAGCGCCGTGCAGTGCATGGAATTGCGCGCACGCACCGGACATGAGCTGAAAGGTGGGCTGGCGCAGGAAGCGGGAGCCGGCCTGTCACACATGTAAGTTGGACATATACAACGAACGGCAAGTGTGTTGACTTGACAGACGGAACAGAAGCAACACATTTGTGTGTTTGGGGGGGGGGGGGGGGGGGGGG